GAAAATGAAATAAATAAATAAAAAAGTTATGATATTTGGAATGTCTTAGGAAGACAAAGGGCAAGGTCAAATTTGGGCCTCCTGGTGGATGACCTTGGTACTGTAACAGAACTTCCAGTTATTGTATCTTTTGACCTAAACAAATTAGGGTCTTGACTTTTTTGTGACAGATAGCTTTTCCCATCAGGAATAAGTGGTGTGGGTTTGGTCTCTGATTGGAATCTCTACCAATAGAATTGATAATCTACCCTGACATAATGTAAAAAACTTTATATTCGCAGTATAGCAAAATTTCACAGTCTGAGAAAAGCGTCTGAGACATGTTCATGGAACTACCGGTACATGTTCACAGTGGCAGCAGGTGCAAGAAAAGAGAAAGTCGGCGAATTATTTGTTCACAGTAATGATAAATTTGCAGTACAGACTGAAGTGACCGTGAAAACCGTGAATATCCTAAGTACATGTACTGCGAATATACTTGTACATGCATTGTACATGTTGACATGCTGAGAAATTGTATTTTCTTACAAGGCCTAACAAAATAAATGTTGTGTTTCCTATTACAGTCCAGAAAAAATTAGGGTCGGTAGGTCGGTAGGGATTCCCTTTTTTTTTTTTTTTTTTAGTCAAAGACGGGACGATGAACGTATGATCTGTTTGTACTACACAGAAAATTGGGCAGTACAAAACAGATCGTAAAATTCTTCAACAAAAGAGTTTGTATATAGTAACCTCTAGAAAGATTCAGACAAGCGAGATGTAAACAGTCTGAACTGAACACTTTATTCAGGGATCTCCCCAGAAATTCAGAGCAGGGTGGAGGAACGCTGCGGGGGGGAGGGTCTGGAGGGGGGGGACGAGCTATTACATTTCGTCTTTTCCAAACACAAATGGAGGTCATTTCCTGCAACTTCAGTTCTACATTTTCTGTACAATTGCAGATGTATAAGGCAGGAGAAAGGTTCAAGATCTGTACTTAATTATCCACTTCATGTTCCAAAAAAATTCTATTAGCACCCTTAATTTTGAAAAAATTGGGCATAGGTTCCCCGGATGACCCCTAACCGGGGGCCAACGGTGCTTCCACAAGTTCAACAAGTGAAAAATACATGATACAAAATGTACATGTATTTACTACCTGGAACTTGGAGCAAAAAGTTATTCCAAAGATGTTACTGACATTAATATATTAAAACTAAACCAAATCCTATTTCCCAAACAAATCACATATTGACACAGCTGAACAAATAAAAATGTGATCATGTCTATAAACTCTACTCAAAAACAATTTTTGAGAGACATTCGGGTCGCGGTGCTAAGTGTGATAATCTCTAATATCTCATCTGATTCTCCCAATGTAAGGGTCTTACAATCACAGCATCCAACCGCACATACATAGAAACAACAATATTACACAAGAAACCAATAAATTCGGAAAATTTCTCATCAATGTTTGAAAATTAACCTTACTAAAATATAAGTGAATTTTTATTTCAGTTGTAGCCGAAAAAATATTTTTCATGCGTTTAAAGTATCGTTTTAGACCTGTAATATGTACTTATTACATGTATCTATACATTTGGATGCTATCTTGACCTTTGACCACTGTTATTGTGAAAGCAGGTCGGCCATGTTGTCTTTCTCGCCGTGGCTTTTCGGGCCGTTTTTTCGAGCAAATTTCAACCGTTTTAAACATTTTACGGCCTCAAAAACTCATATAACAAGGAAAACAAGTTGTAGTTGTTATTTTCATGCGTAACATTTCTTCTGGGGATGGATTATTTTTCCGTCGAGCTGCCGAAAACTTAGCGCCATGCCGCAACCATGCGACCGTCGGGCGCGGCCGGTCGGCGGGAGTTTTACTTTGTATCGGTGAGCTTTCGCGATGTAAACAAAGACAGTCGGAGTTGTTTACATGAAAATTTTGTTGTGAAACGCCAGCGGGATGTCAGATTTTCTACCAATGACAACGTTTTCTTTGTGGCGTCATGGCGAGATCGACAATTCATCGACAATTGACAGGATTGTGCCGACAATGGATAGCCCGATCCGTGCCGCCCGACCGAAGAAAATTGGAATGACGAGCACATTTATCGGGGATAAAACCCCCAATTTTGAAAACCGCTCGAAATTTTTGGTCAGCCCAAAAAAAGGCTAGGGTCGGGGGGTTTTTCATAGGGTCGGTCGGGTAACCGGAAACACAACATTTTTTTTCCTAGGCCCAATTTTAATGATTTCTTGTCTTTTTTTCTTTTTTTACAGACCTTGCTGACCACTAAGTACCCTTTCAAGCTTGGCCACCGGGTGTTTCAACTCTTACTGGACATCTTCCTGTACCATGATTTCTCTGTGGTCAACTTCATCAGAGGGTTACAAGTAGGTGCTAATCATTATTAGACACTTGCATTGTGCGTACACATTGACAATAGAGGGCTTGAAATCCTTTTTTACTGTGCAGGGCTCGTGTGGCATCGGGTGGCGTAGTGGTTAGAGCGTTCGACTATGAAGCAGGGAGACCCAGGTTCGATCCCGAGTTGTACCCGGGACCTGTCTGAACATGCGCCCAGACGTTGTGCCCTTGTGCCTTGCAATACATTATAATATGTACAATGTATTGCATATTGCAATTCAACTGACATCCTGAGTTTTCAAATCTTATGTTGAAAAAGATATCTTCTGCAAAGGGAAAATTCTGACACAACATTGACCAAACATCCAATGAAAACCGTGCAAAATTTGGCACAGTGTGTTCTGCTGAAGGGCTGTTTTTAGGAGTTTACAGTATTTTTTCTGGATGCTGACAAAAGTTTGATTTTATGTTCTTGCATTTAATGATGAACTTAATATTTTTGTTCAACACAATCAAACCGTTGCTCACAAAGTTTTCAAATTTTTCCTTAATGTCATGATTTAAATTGTAGCCTCCGTAGCAGGCTTATAGAACTGGGGGTTTGGTGGTCTTCGGCTGCTTTCTGATTAGCCCAGTTCAAAAAACGGGGGGTAATTCAACCAGGCCGGCTATGTTGTCTATATGCAATCAGCAAATACCACAAAAAAGCTCCCAAAGACCCTGAAGACCCCCAAACCCCCAGTTTTTGGCATGCTATGGAGGCTAATGATTTTGTTATTTCCAGTTTGCCATGTTGGAGCACTTCTTCAGTGACCTCGGCATGCTGTGCTGTGGGGTCAAACTGAGTACATCTAGGGTGAAGACCATGAACCACCTACAGTTAGAAACTATCAGGAAAACACTATCATTCAGAAGGTACATGGTACAAAATGTACAATCTGTATGTCTGTGGATCTTGCTGACACTGACGCAAGTACATAATGACTGCTTTTTTTTGCCCCAATTTTTTCCCCATAGATGTAAGCATTAGGCCACACCAATTTAATTTCTTGGTTAACGGATTTTTCTAGAAAAATAATGGAGCGGGCGGGCGGAAAAAAAATTAAAATAAAAACAGGCCTAGGCATCGTATTATGGCCCAAAATGGTACGATAGGAGCCATGAAGTCAACACACCAGGCTGGTTCAAAATTTGAACAATGAAGTTTGAGCTTTTAATGATACCATTGCATTGAAATATGGAATAACTGTAACGACTAGGATGAGGACTGTTTTCAACTGTTCAGGGCAAAATATGAGCATTTTGCAGTTGATTCTGAATTTTTATTTTTATTTGCAAATCAGAAAAAACTGAAGCGGGCGAATCCGTTAACCAAGAAATCAAATTGGTGTGGCCTTAAGGGACTTGTCCAACGTGATTGTGACTGGGACTTTTGGGAATGCACATGGCCCAATCTCTGCCTATGACGACTCAAGCAAGCTGTAGAAAAGTTATTTTGATGATAACAAATGTAGCGATAAATCTCGATGTAGTCAACCTGTTAACCATAATATTATATTTCTACAACATGACAGTCTTTGCGGGATGTAAAATGGCGCTGGCTTGGTTAAGGCCGCACAACACAGTATTTATGGGCGAACCCCGTAGTCAAAAGTAGTACGGGCATAAAGTAGTGCTGCACAATACTAGAGAAGGGTGCAGAGATTGTTCTGTGCATGGCATCGAGATAGAACCTGTGGTAAATGTTAGAGGAATACGTCAGTTTTGAGACTGTAAAAGTTGAATTAAGTGTTTAGTCGGCGTAGATTTGCGCTTGGATACTTGTCCCGCCTAGTACTGTGTGTCGGCTGCAGTTCCATGACCTCCGCAGTGGCGCTAATAAAAGAAGGCATGAGAAGAGAACTAGCCAGCAAATCTAAGCTCATTTTCACATATTTTGTACACTATACCCTGAAATTAAACATATCAAAATTCTGAACCTTGCTTGTGCAGCCTACTATGATTTTCAGTGAGTCGACGTGAGTCACTTTGGGGTCCTTAACTATAGAAATCCCCATAGGGCTAATACTGTGTTGTGCCGCCTTAATGGAGTAGTCCATCGTAAAATGGGTGGAAATTTTGCTGTGGTTTTCTTGTTTGATGGAACATGCTATATAAAAAGACCACTTGTCTAATAAATAGATAAAGACCACTTTTTTGGTCCCCTAGTCACTTGGACAGTGAGTGTAGTCCCTTGAAGTTTTTATGACTTCTGTCTGTTTTCTTTCTCAGATATGTAGAGACCCAGCCACCACAAGAACAGAAAGATCTCCTCCTAAATGACAAACACACCAAAGAAGTCTTCATCCGTCTGTTAAAGGACCTGGACTCCTACCAGCACATGTGCTATCCCATCATGCACTGCCTACACGCCCTGACCTGCACCCTTCCCAGACACCCCCTGGGTAAGCAGCTCAGGGAGTTATACTCCTTGGTGCTGGAGTCTAACATCTGGGACACAGAGGGGTACAAGGATGCCTTCAACTTACTCAGGTTTGTCTGACATTTGTGTTTGTTTGTTTGTTTGTTTAGGAAGCTCTCAAACGACACCCCACGACGTCCAACCCTTGCATGACGGGGAACAACGGACGTTAAGCCGTGCAGTGATTACACATCACTATCCTTCCTGGAGTCCTTTACATAAAAATACACTACTACTAGTATTACTATTTACATACACGTTTAACTGCTATCAAGAAAACTTATCTTATCAACATAGTAAATTACACATTAAGCTGCACCAATTAATACATGAATATAATTATTACATTATACAGTAGTCTGTGTGTAGTCTTGCATTATAATAGTTATCCTTGTATAATCATCATATCTCCTAGGATGTAATACTATGTGTACTTAAAAGGTATTCAATGCAATTTCAGGGCAGCAAAAATACTGGATGAGGAAATCTCTGAACCTAACATTTACTGCCATTTCTTAGCACATTTTCGTCATCATTTCATACTTAAAGCATTTGAAATAGCCCCAAAGCAAGCTACATGAGGCATCTCTTGAGTTTTTGGTGCCACCACAAAATGTGTAGCTAGAACCAGTCTATGATAAAATACAAGCAACCATTTTCCATCAGCAACACCCCATTTATGCTTCACAGATATCAGTACTATGGTGGGATGATTCAACCTATACACTAAAGGAATGGGCAGCAAATTGACTTAAGTTTGAAACTTCAGTTTTGCCACTCTGAAATTGCTGCAATGGATGCCTTTAAATCTGTGTCTATCTAATACGTACATATTACTTTGTAAAGAAATGACCAGAAAATTTACTTTTTCTAATGTTACATATAATAGATATATTGACAGTTTTAACACAAAGATTGAAAAAGGTACATGACACATTTGTATTAACAATTATCCATGTATGCATTGATATGAATGCCTTGTTCTGTCCATGTTTTGCTAGGTTGATGGCCAGAGATGACCTGGTGTGTGTGTTAGGACAGTGTGTGGGGAGACTCCAGGTCTGGACAGAGTCAGATAATTCTGAAGTTATCATGGACATACAGACTTACATGGCACAACTGGAAAGTCTCGGAGGTAAATAGTTCACTACACATATGTAACCAAAAAACAACTTTTTTATTCAGGCCCAACTAGATAATCCTTATGGATGACTTTGACATAGAATTCACATGCAGGGCTCAAAACACTTTTTTCTGTACTGGTGTAGGTAACATATTAATTTAATGTAATTAAGTATCACATTGTACCTGAACCAGACAAATTTTACCTGCACCACTCAGAATTTATATAGGAAGTATGGATCATACTAAAAGCTGTTCAGAAACCATTGCCATTTTTTCTTTTATACGTCATACATGACACGAGTTTGTAGTTTTGCAATTGTTGACGATGTGTGAGAGTTTGACTTAGGAGTAAATGTTTCTACTTACAAGTTTACTACCAATACTTAGCTATATTAGACAAGTGAACAATCATTCTTGCTTTTGTCAGATGGATCTCAAGAGGAACAGGAAGAACCAGAGGAGAGGCCAAAGGAGAGGCTGTCTAAGACCACAAAACTGCACGATCTGCAAAATGTTAGTTGAACTTATGATATTATTATAGTAATATAATGCAATGCTTTTTTTAGGCAAAATACTGCAACAATATCATACACATTTGGGAATTGGAGATGAAATCTGAGTTGTCAAGTAAAAAAGTTATTCATGAGCAACATTTTCTCTTCTCACCCACAATGTTCTTTGACTGATATGTCTTGCAGAAGTTACGAGAATCCGCAAAACAGAAAAAGAAACTGACGAAGTATGAAGTTTTGAGAAACAAGATTCTTGACTACATGGATAAACTTTTCAGGTCAGTAATCTTCATTGTTCCAAATATGTCCAAATTTACTTACTTATGTCCAAATTTATGCAACAAAAAAAAAAACACAGTGTTACTCAAGCAACTACTGGATATGATTTTGGAAACAGTCAGATGTTTCAGGTAGTATCCACTACCTTTCGCCAGTGACACTCGACTCGAGAATTCTCAGAAAACAGGTTTATAAGCACGAACTGTTGATAGTTTGAACTATTGGCGTCGTGTGGTATAGTGGTACATCACTGGACTATGAAACGGGGAGACCCGGTTCGATTCCGGGTCGTACCCGAACAAGTCTGAACATGCACCTCGATGTTGTACCCTTGGGAAAGGTACTTTACACGACTTTCCTCACTTCACTCAGGTGTAAATGAGTACCTAGCTTCGGCTAGGGACGTCCCTCGGATAGGACGTTAAATGGAGGTCCCATGTTTGGGAGAGCCACACCCCACGCACGTTAAAGAACCCACCACACTTATCGAGAAGAGTAGGGGACCTTCCCGGTGTGAGTGGTTCAAACCTTACAGTCTGGTCTCGGGGTTGACATCTTTGAAAAGGTGATAGTCACCTGTTATGTCAATCCTTCTACAAATGTGGTAAATCTTCATAAATAAATAAATAAATAGATATTGATAGTTTGTGCTTACATGTAGAAACCTGCTTTTTTTAGAATTCTCCAGTGTCACTGACGAAAGGTAGGGTATGCTACGTACCTGAGCTAAAACGTCTGACTGTTTCCAAAATCATATAACTGTTGCTTGTCATGAGTAACTGTTTTTTTAAATCTAATATATAACAGTAACTGTAATTCCTGATTTTTTCATGGTACTGTTATGTTCACTGTTTTCACTGTCACTTCTGTACCGTGAAGTTATCATTACAGTTACATGTAAGAAACAATTCCTTGACTTTCTTTTTCCTGCACTGTCGCCAATGTGAATATAGTTCCATGAACACTTTTCTCAGACTTTTGTTACCATGAACATAAAGTGAATTACAGTACCTGGATGTCTAACCTCCACTGACATACATGTATGTCCAAATTTATTAACAAATTGAATGTAATAGGACCTGTGAACAACTGTAAACAAACCCCAGATGTTTCTAATTATTAAAAGCATAATTTGTGGTTTTGTTTGATAAGTTTATGAACAAACACCCTCTGAGACGTTGTTAATTTTGACAGGAGTCACCTGGCCTCCCCCACTACCCTGCCCCTCCATGAGGTGTGTTACTATGACAGAGTGTCCACTCTCAGGAGACACATGAATGCAGCACCCAGGGCTGCTATACAGACTGCACTCAGCAATCCACACTACTATCTACAGGTAGGTGTGTATGGATAGCAGTCGTTGACAGAACGTACTGTACCTGCGTGAAATCCGTAATGTATTGTATATAGTACTTCGGCAGAACGTCTCATATAAGGCCGTATTTGCGCATATAAGGTTAACATCTCGTCTGTAGTTCCCAAATGTTATGTCGGAAAAGATATCGTCTGCAACAGGCAAAATTCTGATGCAACGTTGACCAAAAATACAAATAAAACCATGAAAACCCAGGGTTCTGCACAGGCTGGTATGGATAGCCTTAAAACATTATAATTCCTTTTTGCCAATGATTGCAAATAAGGCCACACCAATTTAATTTGTTGGTTCTCGGATTTTTTCAGGAAACATATGAAGCGACAGGGCGAAAAAAAACAAAAAAAAAAACAGATCTAAGCATCCTATTATAGCCCCAAATGCTACGATAGGAGGTATGAAGTCAACACAAAAGGCTGGTTCAAAATTTAAACAATGAATTTTGAACTTCTAATGATACCACTGCATTGAAAGATGGAATAACTGTTACAGTAACGACTAGGAAGAAAAGGACTGTTTTCAACTGTTCAGGGCAAAATATGAGCATTTTGCAGTTGATTCTGACATTTTTTTTTTTGGCAAATCAGGAAAAAATGAAGAGGCGAATCCGAGAACCAACAAATTAAATTGGTGTGGCCTAAGTACACTTTTAGCATTTAGAACTGAAAAATTATAGGCTAAACGGTTGCACGTTTTGTATTGTAGGCTGCTTTGAGCTACTGGTGGTAACAAAAAAAAGGGATTTGTCATGTACAGTCATGTAGCTTGTTTTAAGGCTAGTATTTGAAATACTTGAAGTATGAAATGATGAAATATACTTGGAAATGGACTCCGGCGTAAATGTCAAATTTCCTTATCAAGAATACTGTAATTCACCATTTTTTCGTGGTACTTTTATGCTCCCGGTTTTTGTGGACAATACTGTACTGCAAACTTATCATTCATTTGCCAACTTTCTTTTTTCTCCTGTATCTGCCTGCAAACATATTACATGCTCTGCGAACATGTCCATTGTGAATTTACTGTACTTTGTGTTTTGCTGCCCTGAAATTGCATTTCATGCCTTTCCTTAAAAATCTGTGTCTTTATGTAGGATGAGTCTCTTAAGTCAGAAGACGGCACCATCCCAAACACGGCCCCTGACGTGTGCATCGTCTACAAACTACACCTGGAGTGTGGCAGACTTATCAACCTGTATGACTGGCTACAGGTAGGTACACTGTGAGGCATAGGTCTAAAGCTTGACAGTTTATGGAACACATAATACTATAATACCTTTCTTGAGTCACTGTGGCTAAGCCTGAACCCGAAAATGGCCGCCGCAGAAGATCTGCACACAGCTACTGACAGCCTGAACCCGAAAATGGCCGCTGCAGAAGATCTGCACACAGCTACTGACAGTCTGAACCCGAAAATGGCCGCCGCAGAAGATCTGCACACAGCTACTGACAGCCTGAACCCGAAAATGGCCGCCGCAGAAGATCTGCACACAGCTACTGACAGCCTGAACCCGAAAATGGCCGCTGCAGAAGATCTGCACACAGACAACCTGAATCTGGACAAGGATAGATGGATGGCCGTTGCTCTAGAAGCGCCAGAGGGATGGCACATTGCTAAGCTAGAGAGTGCCCAGGGCAATAGAGCCTCAGTCTGTTGATGTAGCTTCCTGCATACGGGCATACCCCATGTACGGATGGCCAGGACAAACAGACAAACTTGTAGTCAACAGCAAGTGCATCATAGATAAGAATGTAGAAATGATTCCATCTGGAACAGGAACCAGACAGTACTTGCGAATGTCCATTGCTACATGTACCTGTCAGCGACTGATGAACGAGCTGTTTGATGATTTCAGGATTAGGTACTGGTAAATTGGACTTTGATTGACTTAAAATCTAAACATTATTTTATTATTATTAGATTTACTTTCACACTGGCCTGTTTTTCAGCTATTGGTAGTTTGAACCAAGTTAATCTGTATCAATGTTCTTAATAATAATATAAAGCTTTTGCTTTTATGCTTGACCCTATAGCAAGAATTTGTCAGGCATCTGAGATGATTGTAACTTTAATACTTGACCAATTGTCATTGCAGGCATTTGTGATGCTGGTGCATTCAGGAGAAGAGAATGGTGCAGACACTTCTAAACAGAACAAAGTGGATGAAGTCTTACAGTATCCTTCATTAAGATATTTTAAACTTATACTTGTAGCGTGCGTAGTCCAGTGGTTAGCAATCCTGCCTCAGTAAGGGGTTAGGAGTTCGAATCCCGGCTGATGTCACTCACCTGACATGCACGCTACTGTTTAGTGTCACAGTCCTTAGGACAGGACGTTAAGCCGTGGTCCACTGTTCATTGTGCTTGTCAAAAAGAGCTAACTCCCGGTACAATAAACCTGTAAATACTGTACATAGCATGGTAAGGGTCGGGGAAAGGTTTAAAATATGTGACAGACTTTACATAAGGAAAAAGGCATGTTGTTATGATAAAAGTTTAACATCAAAACTTTCCCTCAGGTTACAGTTGTATACATAATTTTTGTTCTATATTGTCCTTGACTAACATTTCCCAGAGCCCGTTTTATCCGAGCTGTGTCAGAACTCCAGTTCCTGGGCTTCATCAAACCCACCAAGAGGAAGACAGACCACGTGGCCAGGCTGACATGGGGAGGGTGCTGAACCTAGTCATGGACAACTCAGGACAGTCTGCAGCTGGAGCAGTGTTCTAGCTATCTAGCTATGATGGACAATAATCTGTTATCTGTGACTCAGAGAAATCAGTGTGGAAAGAGCATCAAACTAAGCTTGGTCTATCAGCAAAATTTGCACCTCAAAATGCAGGAAATACTGTTTCATCAGGTCAAGTTTTCACAGGGTAGTATGCCCTCAAACACCCCTTTGGCGTTTCATGTACATGTAAAACAAAATAGAGATGATGGAAAAGATTTTTAGGTTGGCTAGAACACTGGTCTAGGGATACTTTTTGTAGATTTTACACAGGGAAGAGTTGTTAGCATTAGATTTCTTCTGGGCAGCTTGTGAAAGAATCTGTACATAGAAAATGGATGTGCCAAATGTGCCAATCACTGCCACTGACTATTAAATACTAGTACATGTACTAAAACTTTCCTCCTGTTATACCTCATGAATGAAACTAACATGTATACATTGTGGGTTTCTGCCTTATGACATGATAGAATTGTATTATCTAAAGAGTCGTTATCTACACTCATTAAAAGGTTTCAACACTCTGAAAATGATCATGATTTATTTGAAAGCAAACTAGTTACAAAGAACGTTGTAATATTAGAAGCAGATTTCTGTTCGGTGAGATAAAAATATGAAAAGAAAGTAGCAACTAGAACCGTCAACAGTTCTACTAACTGTTTTGCTGGTAACCTCTTATGTGACTACTTGTACATTTTCTGGTAGGTATAGCCACACATGTAGGTTGTTGTGTTGACTACCTAGTGAAAGAATCCAAATAAGTATTAAATACATCATGGAACTCGAGCTTGTCTTTTGAGCATTGGCCTTTTATACACATAATAATAAGCACACACACCTTGGAGTGATGCACATATTACAAATTAATTGTTTTTGTAAAAAGAAAACCTGGAATAGTTCAAGCACTGTTTTTGTGCATTATTTTGGCTTTTCATCTATTCTACTTCCATGTACAATGTACATTAATCTGTTTTAAGCAACAGTTACATCTATGTATCTGCATGTAACATTGTCTACATCTAGTTGCAATGGATGGACTGTGTAGCAGTCTTTAGGTCTCTTTCACAGCCAGCCTTGTTGCTTCTGTCTTTAACAGAACTTTGCCTTAGAGAAGTCCATCTCTGGATGCTGCTCCATAAACCTACAAGGAGAGAACAACAACAACAGTTTACTTGATGAAGTAGTTTTTTTTTTTTTCACTAAGGCCAGACCAAGTAATTTTTACAGATTTGGAGACCCTAAATCTAATGCGAGAGTGCAAAAAAAAAAAAAAAACACACACAAAAAAAAACAACTTGGGCAAAAAAACACAAGATATCTAAAAAAAAAGATACATTTGTATTTGAAATACTAGACTAAGTACTTGTAAGGGACGACAATGGCTAGGAGCGGACAAAAATTTAATGAGAGCAGAGTAACAACCAACAATTTTATTAATCATGAAAACAGCAATAAATCAATAAAGCAGTTGTCGTCCTGTTCTTGTGCTCTTATTTCGTGTTACAGGTTTGTAATCAATGATTTGTGGCACTCTCGTGACTCTTTGGTCATAGCTTACAGGAAACGGAATATCTTGTGATTCTTTTCTGGGAACAGGCAAAAGTCAATGCGCGCGAGATGTCATCCATAAAAATGACTTAGTGTGGCCTAAATGATAGCTCTGTTATACTGCACACTGTAGTTCTGTTACATTTTGTACACTTGCAGTACTATATATACAACAAAGAATGTAAAGTTTGTAAATGATAAGACTGTAGCTCAGGCTGTTGGCTTACTTTTTGAGGACGTCCTGTTTCTTCTGCTCCTCTGATGTGGGCAGTCCCATGGCCTTCTGTCTCTGGTCATACATCATCTTCTCCACCATGGATCTGGTCTCTCCATCAAGGTCTGACAACTGGAGAAACACATCCAACATTTCTTAACAAGACTAGCCAAAGCCTGTCACACATTTAGAACCTTCCCCCTCGACCACCAACCATGGAGGTAAAAGACACACCTTCGTGCACCAACCAAGTTAAAAGTTAAGTTAAAGAGCCTTCCCGCGTCAAGTGACGCATAGGGCGGCGCCCATCTCCGTTCATTAGCCCTGGGCCACACACAGCAGTCACTACAGTAGGGGGCTAGTCCACTGGTAGTGGTGTGTGTTTAACTCCCATACTCTTTCCCAAATTCTGAGTGCTAAGCAGAGAAAGCAGTATGTACCATTTTTTAAAAGTCTTTGGTATAACTCGGCCGGGGATCGAACACTCGACCTACCGAATGCAAGGCGAGCACTCTACCCACTTGGCCATTGCACCGGTTTGAAACCAACCAAGGCTGAATTGAATTTTGGGACCCGTCTGACAAGATTTAGGCCATGCTTACTTTTCTAAACAAATTGAATTGGAGTCAAATTTGAACCCAGAATCCCTGAAAATTCTTAAGCTACAAGATGTTATTTCTGTGAAGAATTTGGACAGGTGATGCATAATGTACATGTGATACTGTTTACCTTGGAGTTCTCTGGGTTGACTTTCTTGGTGTTGATTGGTGGGTCAGAGGTCACAATCCTATCCCACCATTCCATTTGATTCACCTTGCACAACAAGAAGTAAAAACGATTATGGTAAACATAATTATATCATTTGTATATAGATGAAGGGAAGTGGGGAGAACTTCATGTTGCCCCTTTGATTTAACTTTAAGTTCTCTTTGTTATTTTGAGATTGACATGGTTTCGCATTACTTTCATTATTTACATATAGACCATTGTTTCCTGATTTTATGTCTCAGTTTTGTGTACAAAATCAATGATTACGTGTTGCTTATTTTGTATAGTACATGCCATGTTTTTTGTGTTTGAAAATGTCAAATTAAGGCCACACCAATTTAATGTGTTGTTTCTCAGATTTCTTCAGAGAAAATATGAAGCGACAGGGCGAAATAAATAAAAAAAAAAACAGGCCAAGGCACCCCATGATAGCCAGAAATGTTACAATATGAGCCATGAAGTGAACATACCAGGCTGGTTAAAAATTAAAACAATAGATTTTGAACTTTTAATGAAACAAAATTGCATTGTTACATTGAAAAACTTAAACAACTAGCAAGAAAAGGACTTTATTCAACCGTAAATATGTCTTTCGTTGAGCATTTTGCAGTTGATTTAGAACAAAAAAAAAAATTTATTTTGCAAATCAGAAAAAATGGACAGGGCAGATCCAAGAAACAACAAATTAAGTTGGTGTGGCCTAACAAGAAAGAGAGAAACAAAATAAACAAAAACACACCTTCTCCAGATGGACCATGAGCAGCTTCCTGTCCTCGATGGTCCAGAAGGATTCCTCCATCTTGATCTCATGAGGAAACTTGTCGTCGATGATGGGAGGATGTCCCTTCAGAGACACCTTCAGGGAATGCTTCTTAATCTCACAGACAACGTCCTTACTCTTCACTGGGAAGGTCACGTTGAAGGGGACTTTTAACTAAAATGGACAACGTGGTATGGGTTACTTATATGAGGTTTTGCATCCATTGTAATTTTAGGCCACACCAATTTAATTTCTTGGTTAACGGATTTGCCCGCTTCATTTTTTTTTCTGATTTGCAAAAAAAAAAAAAAAAATTCAGAATCAACTGCAAAATGCTCATATTTTGCCCTGAACAGTTGAAAACAGTCATTTTCTTCCTAGTTTGTACAGTTTGAAAAGTTATTCCATCTTTCAATGCAGTGGTATCATTAAAAGTTCAAAATTCATTTTGTTTAAATTTTGAACCAGCCTGGTGTGTTGACTTCATGGCTCCTATCGTACCATTTTGGGCCATAATTGGATGCCTCGGCTTGCTTTTATTTTTTTTTTCGCCCGCCCACTCCATTATTTTTCTAGAAAAATCCGTTAAACAAGAAATTAAATTGGTGTGGCCTTAGGGTAGCAAAACAAAAATACTATTCTGGATGAGGAAATCTGTCTGATATAACTCCCATTTCTCAGCACATTTTGGGTATCTTTTTACACTCAGGGCTCGAAATACTGGGTGCATGTGCACCTTAGTGCATCCAAATTTTATCTGTGGGTGCACCTATACACCCAAATACTTTTAGGTTTTTGTATAAAGAATTAAAAAAAAGATGTTAAATGCATTTAGTATACAGCATATTCTTAACATCCAAGTATCAGAAAAATAATAAAATTATCGTTGTAGTACTTTTCTTTAGAGCTGAAACATACCCGGTCCGGTATTAGTTTTTGCCGAATAATTTTTGTGCACCCAATTTTTTAGGTTGGGTGCACCAGTGTACCTTTTCCCAAAAATGAATTTCGAGCCCTGATATTTTTGACAGATCCCCAGATCAAGCCTTACCTCGATCTCTCCCAGTGTCTGTGACCACCTGTAGTTGGGCATGTCTGCTCCGTTACCAGCGTTGGGCTTCATCTTTCCTTTGTCTTCTTCATCTTCTTCTTCATCACTCTAACAATTAAAATAACAAAGTGAGACCAATGTTGGTTCTGTATCTGTATCTGTATAGCCGGTATAATTACAAAGTTGTCCCCTCAGCGTAACATACCAGCTTCGCAGGCACGCGGCACGGTGGCAGCTAACAAAATTGCACCAAAATAAATTAATGACTTGTTACACCTTGCTTCGAACATCTAACTCTAAACATTGTTTAAATCTAGTGAGGATGCCCCTACTGTACTTGGTGGCTGCAAGTTCCACTCTGCGATAGTTCTAGGAAAAAATGAGTTTTTAAACACCTCAATTCTTGGTTGATCGTTATGTCATAAAAAATGGCCGTCTTGCAAGCTTCACATACCTGTAATTCCTGATTTGTTCACTGTACTGATAAGTTCACTGTTTTCACTATTGCTTCTGCACAGTGAACTTATCAATACAGTTAACAAATAATTCCTGGACTTTCTTTTTCCTACAACTGTCGCCACCGTGAACATATAGTTACGTGAATGTGTCCATTTTTCTCAGACCGTGAAATTTTGCTGCCGTGAACATAAAGTGAATTACAGTACTACTACCAGTATACAGTTAAGATTAAATCATGAGTAATAGAGTAATATGTGATGTAGAGAAGCCCATGTAAATACACACCCCAGACTTTTCTTTCTCTTCATCTTTTGCAGCAGCTGCACTCTCAGTTGTCTGCTGATCTCCTTCCTTCTTCTGTATTGGAATAAAGCATTTTAAGGTTGTGAATATGAATACTAAAATATTGATCTGATTTTAATCTGCTCAGATATTGCCATTCAATACATTATATAGAGACTGTCCATTGTCTGAGATGCTTTATGTGGATGTTTCATTGTCTGGAAAGAACCTTACCTAGTATTAGTTTCAGGTCCCAAAAAAAAAATGAATGTCTGGAACTAGTCCCGGACTTACACAAAAAAATCATGTCACATTCCCCTTTTTGTTCTAAATCACCTGAAATCTTCAATAGTCAAAAATAGTCTGAAATCTTCAATAGTCACTGCAAAATGATGAAAACATTGCCATTGGGCATCATCAAGTGTCAACCTCCTTAAATTATATATATGGCCACAGCTTTGCCCCCCGCAAACAACATATCTTGCTTTTATACCCTGGTAGTGCAGTGCTCGCTAGAAAATTTTGCAGGGAAGATGCTCCATTTTCCATTGGGAAATATTAACTGAGAAGTCCCTTCCGCATTTTGTATATGCCCTGTGCCTAGCTCTGGACTTACCAAAGTCCGGATCTGAACCTAAACCTCTGGACTTGAATCTGGACCTGAACGTGGGCTTAGGTACACAGCACTATCTAGTACTCTAAATATAAACTCACCTTATCCAGCTCTGCTTGTAATTTCTCTGCTTCCTCATCTGTCAGTTCCTTTATTTTGGGCTCTTCCTCTACTTTTTTTCTCTCCTCTTCCTCCTTCTTTCTTTTTTCCTCCAACTTCTTCTTTCTTTCTGCCTCTATTCTCTTCTTCTCTGCATCCTGCTCTTTCTTCTTCTTCAGTGCCATCTTGTTATACGTGTGGAACTTCTCCTGGATAATCTGAAAGACAGAGTCATATTCCATACTTGTGCAATCTTTTAGAAGATTCTTGTCATCTGTCCTCTAACACATAATAGTGACATAAGAACATGAAAATGTTGTTCTATAACAAGTTATTATATAAAGCTTATAAGTTATCTTCATTGAAATTATTCCGTACCTTATGCTATATTTGTATTGCTGGTATAACCACACTTTGGCATAACACACTGATGTAACAAATGTCCTAGGCCTAGGAAAAAAAATGTTGTGTTTCCTGTTTCCCGACTGACCCTAGAAAAACCTGCTGACCCTAGACTTTTTTGGGGGGGTGGACCCCTGCAAAGGACATGAATAGTCAATTTTTTGAGCTGATCAACCTTTTCTAGCTCCATGATCTGACAACTGAGTGATGAAACGTTGTACATGTACTATTGGTTTTCTAACATTGACATTAAAAATAAAAGTGTCCTCATGCAAGTTTTACTTGTGTTACTGTATTGTATAAGTTGGACCCCTTTAACCGTTATACATGTAGATATTGCTGACGTCTAAAAGAAAAAAGAAAAAAAAAAAGATAATCCTGGACTGAAACAGGAAACAACATTTTTTTTCCTAGGCTCTATGACTTATTTCAGAAGTCATAAGACATAACTTCCACGCTGGAAAACCTAACTTGTGTGGCAAGAGTGCGAGAGTTGGTAGTTTGATCTTTGACTACTTATCGTACTTTACGAAGGAGTTGATAGTTATACACTTTGAACTTGTTCCAACACAAAGAAGAAACCATAAATTTTCAGTCTTCCCGCCACTTTTGATGCACTCCTGACATCATCACGCTTCCGACTTCCGGAAAGTGATCAGCGATTGCATCACATATCTGATGAAGTTTGATGGGATCAGCCGAATATTTATGGTTCTTCTTTGTGTTGGAACAAGTTCAAACTCTATAACTATGGATTCTACCAACACAGATGAGCTTTCATTCGAATATTAGTAAGGAGTTGTTGGAAACACCTGTACCTTTTCCGCTGCTCCATCACCGCCTCCTACGTAAAAATCTGTCTTGCGTTCCAGGAAACTAAAGATGACGTCTAACATCTGGTCACCAACACAAGGAAGAAAGAGAACTGGTTACGGCAAGTAGAAGAATAAAGAAAATACATTACTTTGTAATTTCAAATTCAAGTCTGTGTTTTACTGTAACTGTGCTACCAACTCATGACTGGTCTGACAGGTTCTAGATCTTTTGGCCTAGTGGTTAGGGCATTGGCTTCATAAGCTGGTGACCCGGGTTCGGTCCCCAGGGGCAGGGTTTCTTTTCTAATCCCATCTGAGGGGCCCTTGTCTCCTGGACCTTTTGGCCTAGCGGTTAGGACGTTGGCTTCACAAGCTGGTGACCCGGGTTCGATCCCCAGGTCCAGGGTTTTCTTTCTACTCCCATCTGAAGGGTCCTGGTCTCCTGGACCTTTTGGCCTAGTGGTTATGGCGTTGGGTTCAAAAGCTAGTGCCCCAGGTTTGCTTCCTTTGTGTTTCTATGCGTTTCGAATTTGATGCCTGTTTTTACGTTTGTAAATTCAACACAATAGGCTTTCTTGAAGACTATGGTAGCTCGTGAGAAACAAAAAGAGTTCCCTTTAAAATCTTCACATCATTTCAACTAATTAGAAGGCTAGCATACAATGTAATAGACACATGTGCAAGTCATCACATGGAAAAAACATGCATGGCAAAGATGGGGGAGGGGGGCCGAAACCACTGCGTGTTGGAAAATACACATGTACAAAGCGGCACGTATTTTTTGTGTAGTTACCTCGTGTATGCCTCCCTCACACTGCTGGGCTATCGCCATCAGCATCCCGTCAAATCTCTCGTCCTGCGACATTATTTTAACTATTTATTCCGTACTTTTTATAAACCTCTTTTTTCCTCGGTTCTGTTCCCGCGACGAGACACTCCACACTCTCGTTCATGAAAGGTCAAAGGTTGCGATCGAATGTTCTGGATTTCAAAATCCAGCTCAGGGGTAACAGATAACATACTGTACGCTATAAATTATTGATATGCTATACTGTTTTGATATTCAAAAGTTGATAACTCTTAAAAAAATTTTGCTAATTTTGTGAAATATTGGCTAAGAGAAAAAACTCCCCCGCAGGGAATAATGGTATCGTCGTATAATCGTTCCCAGGGTGTTGCCCCAACAATCCCACTGTTCCTTGCGGCAGTCTCAGTCCAACACGCTCCAAGATGTCTTGGTCGGCCCAAGACGGCGTTGACGACGATTTCGTCCTCCACGGGCGGAAAACTCCCATCAGGTGAACATTTTCCCATTCTTAAGAATCTTCTCTATCACCCCATACCTGTATTTTGTCCAAATTCTGACCAGTTTGTGAGAAAATTGCATGAAAACATCGTTGTTTACATTGTTACTAAGGACGCCTCAGTACAACCACCTGTTCGTTACACCTGTTATTGATACACTGTGTAGCGGCATGTTCGTTATAACAACAATAGGTCCGGAAAATTTCAAATTGTTAACTTGACTGAAATACATTCTGTTAAAGAATGTAGGGTGTTTATTGACATTTTTGGTGTAAACAATGATTTAGAAGCGTATACTATACGTTACCAGCCTAGAACGTTTTCTTTTCTTTCGTAACATAACGTACAATGTATGAACAATTCACAAAACCGCTGCTTTTAAAATCTATGGTATATATCTTAAACGGAAAAGAGTATTTGCCATAGTGTGCTTGTTAACTTAAATCACTATTTCTTTGTTTTGCATTATAATAATACTAGTAACTAGCGTTGATTCTATCTAGGAAATGGCTTTGATTATTGCCACGCCTCCCTTATATTATATTATAACAGAAGAATTCAGGATGAAAGCTTTAGGTTTTGAACACACAAACAAAAAACATACCACACCAAAGGGGAAATGTTTCAGTACCATTTCGCTGTTCACCAAATGATGCTGTCCTTTATCGAATCTATGACAGAAGAGATACACTTTCCAATCGCAATGTAACCTTTTGAATCCTCAATAATTAACGTTAATGCTTCTATAAATGAGAGTGAGTTATGCATAAGCGTATCACATTTGAACAATGCATAACATTTTCATTGTAACTGCTTAATTAATTGCTAAATCATTATTGCAGCAGTAACACCAACATTTAGTGTAGTTATCTTGTTTATATTAAGTCCTGATTATTGTCCCTTAAGGTGATTGTGCCCTTAAGATAATTTGAACAGCCCACTTTGATAAATTGGTTGGGTTTATCTGGCCGACCTTTGAGCTGAGCATACCGGTATGTCTAGTTTTTAACTCTAAGGCCACAGCAAGTAAGTTTTATGGATGACATCCACCACAGATTCCAAATCTAATGCAAGCGGGCGAAAAAAAAGAAGGCGGGTCGAAAAAAACAAGGTTCCTACATTTTAAAATTTTGACTCAATCATTGTACGAATTGTTTTGATTCAGTGGGAACATCACATATGCACAGCCAGCATCACATATTACTGCATCAAAGTAAGAAACAAAACATTAAATCAGAGCCTTTTCTTGTCTCTCTCTTCATAGTTATCTGCCATCCACCTTCCGGCATGGCAACAGACATCTTTGCCCATTTTCTGCATGTTGACCACTGTCAGAAGGCAACAAATTTTCTTGTTTTTTTTTTTTCCAAAATCAGGTATTAAGCCAAAAAGCAGTTACTCAAGCAACTGGATATGATTTTGAAAACGTCAGACGTTTCAGCTAGTATCCACTAGCTTTCGTCCAAAGGCTTTCGTCAGTGACTGAGAGACCAGACGGGATAATTCCAGTTGCTTGAGTAACTGCTTTTTTGGCGTATCGTATTACCTGGATGTCTAACCTTCATCGACGCAGGTGACAATTAATCCACACGCTGATGTCATCCATAAAAATTACTTGATGTGGCCTAAGTTGTCATGTCGCTGTGGTCAAACAATCTATCAACAGCTGACATGGTACAGTTGTCATGGCAGCAATAGCTGGAGGGTGAAAAATCAATGTATGGCAGGTTGTTGTCTGGCCATTCTTTTTCAAAATTTCTGGAAAACCACACAAATAGTAAATTATACAAATTTCTCTTTTGGGGCATAGTGAATAAAGTTGTTTTAGTGAGAGCTAGATCCCAAAGCTAGCAAATTTGTTAGATCTGGAAGGAAAATGTTGTTTTGCAACGTGACCCTGGCAAAAACCTGTCAAACCTAGCCTTTTGTTTTAATAGAACACTGGTAAGGCTATAAGATTTTCAATCTGACATCTGAATTCCAAACCATCTTAATTAATTGCATTTTCAGCACTAAGTTTTTTTCTTCAGTAAATCGGGGAAAAAATTACAAGCAAACAGGTGAACAGGTCCCTCAGAGAGTCCTGTTACGTTGCTAAAATCAAGAAGGTTAAATACATATGAAAGAAAAAGCCAACCTACCGTCCCTAGTTTTTTCAGAACTGAAATCCGAAACACAATAATTTTCCTAAGCCTTATCAGCAATAACTTAGCAGTCTCTAAGAGTCAGCTTTGATCAATACATTGTAAGTCAAATCATGCATCTTTTATGTCTTTCTATTATTACTCTAGGGACCACCCTGGTGGGTACTTCACAAACTCTCAAAAGACCATCACAACCCGAGACCTGACCCAGAGTCGCACATACGACCCCGGAAACTATCGCCCCTCGTCAAAAACCGCTGCCATGCGGACCTACAGAAGTGACCTCCGCAGGAGCCACAGCGAGGACGACCTTCGAAAGACGAAAGAAGAGATGCTCCAAGACATCTTTAGAGCAGAAGGACGGTCACTAAGTCCGTCGGTTTACGAGCTGGAAAAGTCGCTCACTGATCTCAGGCTCGACCTGAGCGCTCTGAGTAACAGCGGCAGTTTTGGGAAGGGTCAGCTGAACAAGAGCGTGTCGTTCAGTGATAAAGTTCAGGAGAAAATCGTGCACAGCGACAGCGAAGACAGTGTGGACGAGGAGCTGCGTAGGTTGATTGACAGGGATGACGAGGAGGCGTCAACGGGAGAGAGGGGTGGCGGCGATATCCCGCGCCCGCTGAACTCCAAGAACGTGACCAGCCACGAGTACAAGTGGGTCAGCGACAAACCGGCGGCCGAACACGACAAGCAGTGGTACACCGATCCCAAACACCTGACATCCGAGGTGGGGTACTACCCGACCCTACAGGAAGGCGGCGTGCCTCCGCGGTCTGTATCGCCCGTGAACAGAACAATCGGGAGGTTCGGGTCAGAAATTGCCGACAAAAGTCCTTTTGCGAGGGTCACGCCGGCAGACATTGCATCCAACGCGACAAGCTACCCCGTCAGGCTGCAAGCACCGTATATCATCGGCGTGAAATCGCTGAAACCGCCAAAGATCCAGCCGAGACCGCAGTCGCCAATCCGTGCCCTGTCGCCCGCGCTCCGTATGGAACGTATGATGGAGGACGTCGAAGAAGAAAGGGGACGGTCAAGGTCACGGACAAGGACATCAATTCGGACGCGGTCCATGTCACCTGCGTTAAGACAGAGCAGAGGTCGTTTACGATCAAGGTCAAGCTCTCTAACACGAGGCCGTTCCCCGTCCCCGGCGTGGAAACCCGTCCTGAAGGTGAAAGAAGAGGCCCCCGTTTTTCTGGACACGTCTCCCATGCCTCGCAAACCCCAGCGTAAGTTTTCCCCCAGACAATCCAGGTCCAAGTCTAAAAAATTCACGTGGAATTCCACCACTCCAGTTCCAGAAAAGCCGATGAATGCAGACAGTGCACTTAAAGACATCAGTAAACAGTTCCTCCAATCTCTGGAGCCTGAAACAAGAAAATACTTGTTGGAACAGTCCATCAAGAACAACACGCCGCTATTGGCTGAAGCCGACAAGCTGAGCGGGCGGACTGTGTCGGACTCACCGTGGGAGAAAGAGCTTGCTCGCTTGCGGTTAGAACGACTGAGGATCGAGGAAGAACACCTGTTGGAGTTGAAAAGAGAAGAAGAGTTGGAGAGAATCAGGGGACCGATGCCCAAATGGTAGGTTTTCTGGAAAGGAGCTGAGGCTCTTTTTCATTGTGTGTAGACTAACTTCATTGTTGATTCTGAATCAAATCATGTTACTATATTGGATACCATATTGTCTGGTATTTCAACATATTTCAATTTATCAACTGTCTCCTCAGTATATATTGCACTTTCATTTTGATGCGATTAGTCACAACATCTTGAATGCATTGTGAGGTTAATTTTTATGGGAGTGAAAACAAAAATCACCTGGTCATGCTTTAGAAAAAAAACTGTAGGAATGGTTATTGAGGAAAAGAGGGAACATTATACAAGCTACATTCAAGTATTGACCATCAAAATTTTCCACTGATATTTTCCAGCTAAGCTCCCTCCATTGTCCTATCTTGTACAGCTCTGAGGCCACACTGACTTAATTTTATGGATGACATCCTCTGAAGACCCCACAAACTAGTGCGCGTGGGTGAGGAAAAAAAATTCAGGCCAAAAATAAAACTGCTGATAGACCACAGGAATACAAAGCTGGTATTGTGAATTTGCAGCAGTACACAGCGACACTGGCACATGCTGGCCTTTTGTGAAATTTATGAATCGGTACTGTACGTATTTACTGAGTTCTTGAGTCCTGGAGCTTCAGTAGCCAGGGTGCCATCCTTGGTAGTTACCAACGGCTCCCTATTGTCGCTAGCTACCATGGACTACGGAGGATGGCACCCAGGCCAGAGCCTCAGAGGACGTGATCTTTTTTTTTTGAGAACAGGTAAAAATCAATGTGCGTGCAGATGTCATCATCCATAATCAGTGTGGCCTAACGGTAAAACACTGATGTAGAGCATTCTGTTGCTCACATCATATTCAAGCTTTTGTGTCCAGATTTACTCAATATTGTGAAACTACTAGAGTATTTTCTATATACTTACTGATTTCTTTATTTCAAATCTGACTGTCAGCTGGCATGGACCCAACAAACTGCCCAGCCCTGCCTGGTACAGTATACTGGCTTACATGGGTCAATTTTGGGATACGGATCTTGTATTGCACTGCTTTATTTCAGGCCATGCTTGCTCGGAAATGTGCATTCAATTCAACATACAATTTTCCTGCCTCTAAACCTAATGGCTAAACTCCCTAAAGAATTAAGTTCTGTTTTATTTTCTTTTGCTCTCTGCAGTGATGGTATCAATGGTGTGTGGTCAACTTTCCTGCGTTATCTGAGGCACAAATACATGTAGATACAGCAGCTTCATTTACATGTAGTTACATGTTACATGACTTGTGCACAACAGCCTTTTCCCACTAGGATACGATTGTCCGGATGGAGCCGTATACATGTAGATTGTCGACCAGCTTCGATCTGATCAACTTTAGCTCAGTGGGAATGCTCCCGATCTGGCTCGATTTGCCTCGACACAGCTCAGCAATGATCATATAACGGCTTGCATTCCTACTGGGGTAAAGTCGATCAGATCGAAGCATGATTCAACTCGGTTCGGCCCAGCAACTGTCCAAGCTGGATACACTGGATCCTGAGTGTTCTGATCATGAAGCTGGTCCTCAATCTATTTGGCTCGCGATCCGGACCATTCTATCCTGAGTGGGACAAGGGCCTACATGTACATGTATGTCTGGCTTTTCTCTTCCCAAAGCTTGGTGAAGGCAAACACTGCAAGTTCTCTTAAAATCCTGAATCATCGTTTAAAATTGCTGCTTAAATTGCTTGTAGAATTACATACTTTTAGTCAAGTGGGTATGGTGAAGCATTCAACCAAACTGCTGATGCTAATTATTACAGTAAATAGATGTAATCTACATGTAACTGGATGGATATTGGGATTTTCATCTGACACAACGTACCGGTGATTATGTTTGAATTTTCTCACATGCTTACAATTTGATTCCTATCAAACATCTTCCTCAGAGCTTCTGATTGGAGTTCCGCTTCTTGCCACTATATGTAGCCAATATAAGCAGCACTTTTGCTGCAAATCTCTGAGGAAGGTGTCTGACAGATATCAAAACGTCAGCAAGTGAGAAACATAAAATTTGTGTAGGATGAAAATTTCAATATCCTATGCTCTACCAACCATTATGAAATTATTTTGAACTTTGTATCTTACTGCATGTCCTGTATTAGATTCTGAGATCAATAATCATTTAATTTATTATGACTGCGTTGATGCACATCTGATTTATTGTTTTAATTTCATAAAGTGTTCCTGAGGAAATGACACATAGACACAATAGATCTCAACAATCAACTTTCAAAAACTTAGTGACAATCGTCAAGAACTTCACATTATCTGTCTTGACTCCTGTCACTCACCCTTGACTTAAAGACTTGTCATAATTTGTTTCTCGCCCATCCTTTTCAGGTACGAGATGAAGACAAGCCAGTTCCACTATGAGGCCAAGAAGAACAACAAGTTGTTGAGGAACTCCGGACACTGGCAGGACATGATGGACTATCGCCAGGAGCTGCTCAACGCTTCACGGGAGTTCAGTCAGAGTGTGGACCCTCATGCCACCCTGGGCATGGCTTTATAACCTACTGTATCAGTAGTTATTCTACATCATCAATGTCTCTGTGAGGCCACACCAATTTAATTTGTTGGTTCTCTTATCTTTTTCAGAAAAAATATGAAGTGACAGGGCAAAAAAAAATAAAAACAGGTCTGGGCATCCTATTACAGCCCCAAATGCTACAATATAGGAGCCACAAAGTCAACACAAAAGGCTGGGTTAATATTTAAACAATGAATTTTGAACTTTTAAAACAAGTAGGAAAAAAATACTTTCCTCAACTGTTAGATATGAGCATTTTTGAGTTGATTCAGACAGAATCTTTTTTTTTTCAAATTAGAAAAAAATGAAGAGGCGAATCCGAAAATCAAGAAATTAAATTGGTGTGGCCTTAGCATAGAGGTTCATCTGTTGGTAGAAGTTATTATGTAGTACTACTAACTAGTTTAAACTGTAATTTGGGCCCAAAGAAATTGGACTTACCTAAATTTCCAGTATTTGTCAAGGTATGAGCAACATAGCTTTTGTGACGTCACATTGTACAGATGACAGGTGACTCAGTGAGCACTGGATCATAGGTCACAGAGCAAAGACCAAGGGCGCCATGTTGGAAATTACAGTTTAAACTTCCTTAAGAAAGGTCTGCTATTGAATTTGGGGTTTTGAAGATAACAACAAAATTTAATGGATAACTGTTCATTGGAAAACAGTAATTGGTATTATTGTATTATCAAGGTGATAGTCCTTAAAATAGATACCAAGTCTTACTGTACTGTACATGTAAAACCTAATACATGTACAAATGTACAATAGTATGAGGGTGGATTGAATATGTCAGATATTTGGCACCCTACCATTATGTGGTTTAGAAGTGAAGAATACCTCTTGCAGCTAGAAAGTGTATTTACTAGCTAACCCTAACCAAAATGTAACATCAGGGATTCTGGGTGCATTATAATGCACCTCAGTGCATTTATTTTTGCACCTACCCTGCACTGTTCCATGTACTGTCACAGTGTTTATATTAAAATGTAGGTCTATGTATTGTGGATTTTTATTTGCTTCATTGACTGTTACTACTGCCATTATTTCTCTTATACTTAATAAGTATAAGAGAAATAATGGCAGTGGTTTCTGAAAAGTTTTTAGTATGACCCATACTTCTCAAATTCTGAATGGTGCAGGTAAAATTTGTCTAGTGCAGGTAATTTTCAATGTTACCTGTACCGGTGCAGGTATGCAGTGTTAGTGTTATACAATATGAAATGAAAGATACTACAAAAATGATGACGTACATGTAGTATGATAGTCTAAAATTTTTATTACATTATTAGTGCATTCGAACAAAGACAATCACATTCAAAGAGGAACAGAAGCCCTTTTGTGCCTTGAAAGACGACAACAGTCAATGCAGAAACTACAAAGAGCTTGGACATTATAGTCTTGTCACAAGTCTGTGCATAACATTATATTGTACTGTTACTGTACAAGGAATTGCACAAACCCTCAACATACTCTTTCAAAAAAGTCAAAAGCTGGTGGCAGTATTTATACATATTAAATTGCTACACATTAAAACATGTGCAAAGTTTATATTCTGAAAGTTCATAAAATTGGTCAATCTGGTACTATTTACTAACAATGTCAGAAAGAAGGCAACACTAAGAGGTTATTTGTTTGTTAGACCTTATTCATTGACATCGTATCTTAACCTTTACCGTGCTGACTCTTCCGTAAACAATAGAGAATTGGTAGCAAAATGGCTGTATCAGTGTGCTAAAGGTTAAAATTACATTGTAGGGTGAGTTAGTTACTGCTAAATGCTACTGAGAATGTCAGAAGTAAGGCCACACTAAGATGGTGAATTGTTTGTTTGTTCGACCTTGCTGACATTGCTTCTATTCAGGGATAGTACATTTGATACATTTGGTCCTGTAAATAGTGGTTATTATAATCTAAAAAGTGGTGACTTTAGAGTTAACAGTTACTGGTAATAAAGTGAGACATTACCTACTAGTAGGCACCTTGGGTGTCCTTGTTTTTGTTGTTATTTTCTACATTAGGTTTATCCTCATTTGTCCATCCATTCTTTCATTCATAACAGTATAACATGGAGAGGATTCATTCCTCAAGTTAACATCTATTAGTCCTCACCAGACTCCTTTTGCAGGCTGATAAATAGTAGAAATTGGCATAAAAATGGAATATCATGGGCAGAGGAGATGGCCACTCTAGAATTTCCAGCTTGCCTGCCAGACTCCTTTTGCAGGCTGACATAAACAGTAGAAATTGGCCTAAAAAGGGAAACTGGAGATTCTGTGGCGGCCATCTCCTATGGCCAATGATATTCCTTTTTTAGACCAATTTCTACTATTTATCGGCCTGCAAAAGGAGTCTGGTGGAGACTTGACATTTATCGTGTGTGTACTGGAAAGGTATAAAAGTGAGAACTTTGTGAACTTGTGTCTTTTAGCTTTTGTACATTTCAAGAAGTCAAGATGTCGTGACAGGCTGAATAAAAGTTCTAAACAAGAATTACAGTATGCAACTCCAGATGTCTTACTGAGGGACAACTGCAGTCACTGTGACAAAGATGTCTGCTAGCTTGAGGAATGAATAAATTCTACCTTATACATGTACTATAGACATTCGATAGCGATTACATGTACATTGTATATTATACATCATCAGCCTGAAAAAACTACTGGTACTGGTCCTAGTACATGTTCCTTTCAACATTTCTTCATCCTTTAAGCTTAATCAGTTATATCTTACCAACTTGTGTAAAATGTCTGGCAGTGTACTACCATTTTGATATTTAGTGTTTGAAGTCTAATGCTTACCATTATAATACAAGTGTTAGCACCAGAATTTGGCAGTCATTTGAGTAAGGCCACAAGAAGTTGAGTATCTGTGGCACAGGAGACCAATGATATCAAAAATCTGAACAACGGAATTCATGCAAGTTAGAATTGACTTATTTTCAGTGGCTGGTGTAGTATTGGCTATACAGATGGAGAGTTGGATTCCAGTTAAAAAAATGAAATGGTTACCATAATAATAACCCAGATTTACTAAACTTGAACTACACAAAAGTCATGCAATAATATTATTAGTGAGTTTTTGCTTGGTGAAACCAAAACTACGATTGATCAACTTTTTCTTAAATGAAACGAGCCAGATACATGACATTAAATATCAAGCGTGTCCAAATTAGAACATACAAAACAAAATCTGATTTATGTATAAGTTGGAAAAGTTGATCATCATTTAAAAACTTCAGAGGAAAAGCTTTATTTTATTTCTTAGTTAGACATTTTATTTTGGAATATGAGTTTGATTTCTTGGCTACTTTTGGTTCCAAATACACGTACATGGCCCCAAAACTACTGTAACAAGGCCCTCTTCCCTTACACCCCTGTCACACATTCAGGAGTATGTCCTCCTGACCACTAGCCAAACGTTATCGCAATGTCGGCAGCAGTCGGCTAGTGGTCAGCTGATGTTTGGCAAATTCTTAATGTTTTAAAATGATCAAAGCCATTCGGGGGTCGGTCAGCAAGTCCAATCATACATGTAGTTGGCTGGGGTGTTCGGCTGTAAGTTAGCAGAACACCAGTCAACCATTTGGTAGTAAGTCAGCAGTGTTGACAGCGCGTTTGAGGTCAAATTTGACTCAAATTTAACTCCAATTCATTTTGATTCTCACAGAAAGATAGGCATGGCCTAAATCTGGCCAGACTGCTCCCGAACTTCAGTTGACCAAGAAAAACGTCTGGAAAAGTCTTTGTGTGCTGTAAGACTTTATTATAATGATGATGGTTGATATAATGACAATCCATGGCTGTCCTGCTTTAGTTTGGATGTTGATTGTACATAGTGTGTTTTGTTCAAATTGTCTTGATTTTTAATCAACCCCTAGTAAAAAAAATCGGGGCTATGGGTGCTTTAGTACAATCCCTGCTTTTGTACGATTTGTGTCAAACTGAATAAATTGAAACTTGAAAGACTAAGTCTTTCAAGTGTTCGGGCACAATGTTGGGGGAAGGTCCTGTTTATTTGTTTGTTTATGATCATTATGATAATGATTGTAAACAAATAAACAAATGGGGAAGGTCCTGAATGTGTGACAGGCTTTACACAACATGACATCTGCCAAAGACAGGATCTTACTACACAGAACAACTGGCCTGTTGGAGTCTGTTGTGAGTTCTGTTGGGTCCTCATATCTTGGTCCACTCCACGGGACAGGGTCCTACTGGCTGCTGGGTGCCAACAACGTGCAGGGGGCTCTGTAAACAACAAACAATTAAACAGTAAACAAAAACAACATGTAACATACGTTTATGAAGGAGAGTGACGCCATAGAAGATTGAAATATCCAGAAGTAATCTCTGTATTTCATCCAGTTGTAGAGTTTGAATTGTTTATGGACATGTAACATATTGTTCAACAGATAGGGATGACATAGTGACTCATTCTGAAGATTTTTAACTTAAGATATTTATCTTAAAAGACTACTTAAAGACTTGAGATACCTCTTTAGGAACTTCTCCGAGCAGCTTGAAGTCAAACATCTGGATCATCATGGCCAGAAGCATCTGTATTTCCATCAAGGCAAACCACCTAGTACAGAGGAATACATAATACAATGTATTAGGAAATCAGAGAGACAATTTTTCCTATGGATTAGCCTTTAGGCCTACGACAAAAATGTTGTGTTTCCTGTTTCAGTCCTGAAAAATTAGGGTCGGTAGGTAGGGATTATCTTCTTTTTTCTTTATTTTTTTTAGACTTTGGCAATCTCTAGTGATTCGACGTAAACAATACAGTTTGACGAAGTAGAACTTGCATGAGGACATGTTTTTTGATGTCACCGTTAGATGTCAAAGATGTGTACAACATTTCATCACTCAGGTGTCAGATCATGGAGCTAGAAAAGGTCAATCAGCTTGAAAAATTTATGTCCCATGCAGGGATCCACCCAAAAAAGGCTAGGGTCATTTTTTTCCTAGGCCTTAGAAGGTTTACTTACATTGTAGGAAAGAGATGATACATGTATTTGATACTGTAATAGTAAAAGAATTGATACCCATTTTTAACTTGTAAGCATCACATAAGTTGCAGAATTTACATGTAGAAAGACTTTGATATACAAATGTACATATAGAATACAACACGGGGTATTCCGTATCGCCCGAGGTATCGGCCCGAGGGCGATGCGGAATACACCGTGTTGTATTTTATTTATATCATACCCACCCAAGAAAACGCGCCTTTCAATACAAGATGAGCCAAAAGTTGGTGCCCCTAAACCCTCAAATGCAACAACATCAGTTCCAACGTCCGGATTCTGTATTCGAATTTTCGAAAGGGGCGCACGCGGTTAGGACGAAACGCGTTCGAATCGTTTTATGGAAGCCATGGAAGCGTTCGATAACGGGTTCCGGACCGGGCCGTACCGTAACGTACGGCCCGGTCCGGAACCCGTTATCGAACGTTATCGCGGTCCGGGTATGATATAAAGTCATGTACTGAGAAAATTGCTCCCCCACCTGCCAGGACATTGGTATCTCCCACCTCCAAAGCCAACGAACCCGTCCAGGAACAAATTCTTCTCCAGGTCAGCATCAAGCCAGCGGTCCTGTCAAGCAAGAAAACAACTTACAGTCACTCCCACGTTTGATTGGCCAGGGCTCAAAATTCAATTATGGGAATAGGTGCACTCGTGCACCCAACCTAAAAACATTGGGTGCACAAAAAATGTTTTGGCAGGGTTGGACAAGTTTTCAAAAATTCACTCGGGCAAGTACATGTACAGAGTCATTTCTACTTGCCCGAACCAACTTTTCACTTGCCCAAAATATACAACACTTTTATATGCATTTTTACTACCATTCTTACTATTTTATTTGAGAGTTTATAATGCTGCATGCTTTATTCTAAATTATCAAAATAAGGTGGTTTGAAACTTGCAATGGATTTTCTGACAAAAGGGCATTAAATATAATATCAATATGGCAAAATGATGAGTAATTTTTCTCCAAACACTGTAGCGGTTATTCTTCGGATCCAAAAAATTCACTTGCCCAATCGGGAAAGTAAAGGGCACTTGTCCGGACAGTACTTTTACTCGCCCTGGGCAAGTGGGCAATGGGACTTGTCCAACCCTGTTTGGGTACACTGTCTACATAAAATAAAATGCAGCTGCTGAATGTTGGATACTTACAGGAAGGAACTTGTCCGGTTCAGGGAAGAAGTTAGGATTGCGATGAGCCCAGTAGGGTGACATCATGAGGAGATGTCCCTTAGGTACGATGTATTTCTACATGAAACACAGGGGTCACTGTTAACATAAAGTATTGCTGATTAAGAAATAAGGATTATTCCTGTTATGATAAAATATCTTTGTTTGCAAAACCATGCCCAAAGTCTAATTGCATGTACAGTGTTAAGGAAAGTACATGTAATTAAATGTTCAAAGTAAATCAATAGAGAACATACATGTACACCTATTGTCTGATCACTCTATACTACTATGATCATGCCATGTTTGCTATAATAATTGTGAGGTTTAAATTGTGTTGTTGTGAGGTTTGACTTTAAATTTTTAAGGCAGTGCACTTTCTAGTGGATAATGAATTGTCCCGCATTCTGCATAATTTTATAATAAGTAGGTTTTGTGATCTTAGTAGAAACATAGTGTCTTTTGATGATCTTCTACATGGTAAAAGGATGGGGAAATGAAAGCAACTGTTTGAGATAGTCAGATTATGTTTATCGAAGGAAAACATATTGTTTTTGCTCCGTTTCTTCTTCTCCTCCAAACAGTAACTTATGACCTGACCAATGACATGATTTGTTGACATCTGTCACCATGGTGACTGGTGTTGGGTTACATAATGTTGCAATTTCATGGTCTGCTCTGCTGCTGTCACCATATACAGTAACTAGTAGTACATGTAATATACTGAGTAAGAATTAACAGAGCAGACCATGTCCGAAGGTAAACATTATGCATTTGCTTTGCAAATGTTACTTCTCTAGTTATTAATAATTATTATTATTAGTCATAGTCATTTGTTTCAAATGTAAAAAAAAACCATCCAGTTGATTTTAACCCCATAGTCAGCCTTCAATGGATGGAATACATGTATGTCAAAGGTAAAAATGTATTGGAATCTAGCTGTATTCCGGACTCTCCCACATACCCTGATCTTGAGAGGCTTGTCCACGGCCCTGGTGATGACCCCAGGTGACCTCAGGCGGATAGCCTCCATGATGCAGCGTTTCAGGAGGGGCAGTTTCTTCAGATCCTCCTCTGTGATTGGTTCGTCCCCTAATGTACAACAACAACAATGTAAAGGTACAATAAATATAGGTGCAGTTTTTTATGTTTACCTTTGCATAAGGAAAACAGTGTTTCGGATCTGTTTCTTCTTCTTCTTCTTCTCCAAACAAAAAAAGTCAATGACCTAGACCAGACATCTGTCACCGTGGTAGATGGTTGTCTTACAGTAGCAGAAATCCTGTGGTCTTGGATTACATTATGTAGCAAGCTTTGGAGGGCTGGTCATCATATACATGAAAGGGTTTAAGTAAGAATAAACAGAGCAGTAGTTTGATTGAGCAGGCCATGTGAAGGTAAACATTACGCATTAAATTTGTTTTGCACATGTTACTAGGACCATTCTAGTTACAATGTAAGTACATGTATTTGTATAAAATCTTAGTCTGTAGATAGAAATGGATATGTTCAACTGGATAGAATACCGTATGGAAAGAAGTTCAATAGAAAGGACTGTAAGCTATCTAAGATTATGGATCGTTCAGAAGCCCCACCTGGTGGTCCAAGATGGTCCTGCACTTCCTTCTTGACAGCAGCATGGACATCTTCATTGGACAGGATCATGGCCAACACCCAGAAACTCATCTGTGTGTGTAAGAAAAAAAACATTCATTAGACAAGGCAAACTATAGAACTATAGAGATGTATCACTTCTTCCTTTGAAGACCACCAAATTTGCTGTTCCATGATGTACATACATGTACATGTACATGTACACCTAGTAAAGCATGGCTCACAATAAATACACCAAGATGCAACATATCAGTTATCGAAATTAAAGGTGGTCCAATGGCCACTGACCACTAAAATATAGGCTGTGAGAACTAAAAAGACACTTTGGGACATTTTGGGACAATAGAAAAATAAACAAGAAAGGTGTAAAAAATACACCTAGGCGACGAATTGTATATTATGTAAATTAGGGTATTATCAATTTAATTTATTTTCATTATATGTACGAATTGGAATACTTCACTTCATAAGCTACATGTACATATATGTGGTTATCTACATGTCGGCAATCAACCAATATCGGGTCCCCATTCTTAGCTCTGTGTTTGTTGCTATTGTTTAGATTTAATTCCAATCTTGTTTTTTTTAAAAAAGTTTTATCAATATTTGAAATGGATATCTTATGTTTTACAAACATTTCAAACTTGTTCTTAACTTCTTAAGAAATTTCCGTAAATTACAAAACATTCGAAATATGTTTGAGTCCGCGTACGATATTTCCAATGATTTTTAAAGAAAGGCAACTCGGTTCTGCGATTTTTAAAATTTTTTGTAAATGACCCGTGACGAAGTAATTTGCACATCAACACGAAGCGTTCTGTGAGCCAAAAATAGGAATCGTTGATGAACCCTGCGGCGATCCTGCCGTCGGCGAGCACTCGACACGATAGCGGCCAGTCATTGATACTGAAAAACAGTGCCAAACCGTACGCTGCTTTTAATAAATCTCAAACTCTAGTGAAACATCAAATCCTTTCTGTTGTACCATGGTTGTACAGTCCGTCCATATTTCTTGAGATAAAAAAATAGGTACCCATTCACAAAAACGCCTGTAAATTCAAGGATCTTTCTCGCACAGTATTACGTAGATCTATTACACGGCGCCGAAACATGTCAAAATACACTCCGTCTTCCCTCTCGTCAAAAACGCCGTCCGTGCAAGTCATGTGTGCTTCCAAATAAGGAAGTCCGCGGAAACCGCTGGCATATTGCCGGTAGCTCGGGCGATCGCGATCTTCGGTCTGCATTGGCGCGTGTGACGTCATGATCGGGCTCATTTGTATGCATTTTGACTACATGGACTACAAAGGACGCCGCCGGAGGGCGTAAACCCAGATACCGCGGGTGAAACTGCACATCAAGTAAATACGAAGTTTGGCTGGTAAAAAAAAAGAAATTAAAATTAAGATCTCAGTTGATTGCCACTTTCGAAATTTTTGCAAATTATGACATTTTCGAAAACATGCTACTCAAGTACGTACATTTTTATAATAATTTCAGAATATTTATAATATTTTCAAAAATAAAAACATTGAGAAAATATTAAAGGTATTATTTTAAAAAACACGCGGTGACTTGGAATGGACTCTATAAGAGCGCACGTACAGCACATGAATCCAGGTAAAATCTATCAAAAGTTGTAAGACATAAAAGGACATACTACTTGTGATGAAAGCTCCTTGTATAAAGTCAGTAGGAACAAAGATCACTGGATACCGGTGATCATTATCTAGTCTACCGAAGCGATCCTTTTCTCCACCGCTGCAAATTTTACATGCCCGGTCAAGCGGCCGTTGACCTTATATAATAGAAAGCAGGACAATATAGTTTACGTGCGCTCTGGACTCTGGATCGATACGCAAAAACCATATGTATATCATATACATTATCATTATGTGCATAACATAGCATGGTCTGTCGCTGTGTGTATATTCTCTAAGGGTAGGAATAGGCTATCAAACCCAAACCTTTTCGCAGGTACGCGATTGTCAGAAAAATGTTTATGAAAGGCGGTATGAACCCCCAATGCTGCAGATATAGGCCTGGCGTGCTTGTAGGTTAGCCGTTGAGAGAACAGTTCTCTCAACGGCCAAACTCCCTTGGCATTCTTATCTCTCTATTTTGGCCGATTTCTACTCTTTCTAGCCGCCTCCTCAAGCCTGGTAGAGGCTACTTGTAGGTGCTTGTATTATTATATCCTGGATGCTGTCCGTGTGCTGGTTCGCAAACAGGCCACGCCCGCGAGGTCTGGTTTACAGATGTGTTGTCCGCCACACACGTTTGCAGGGACACCAACATGCATCCAAGGTTGATAAATAAATAAATAGAGTGACCACAGATACACTCGCCAGAAACGTACAGAACGACCTTATAGAGGTAAAGTTGATCCGCGAAGATCAGGCGGTTCCACAAGTGTCATCTGTTGTTGTTCTGTCGAATTGAACGTGTTGCGGTGCGTAGATACGAGCGCTCCTTGGTGACATTCGTTGTTTCCGATTCCGAATGCAGAAATGTATGTCCAGATACTAATATTTGCTATACACTTGATCTGGCCTGTCGTTCACAATTGACTTTTTCAGTGACGATATGTCTTTACATAGCCTCTATCAGACTCACAATGCTGGCTATTTATAGTAGAATATTTGCCAGGAGAGTTTGACCGCCTTGTAGGACCTTGTAGGTTTGACTGGCCTTCGGAGGGAAAGATTTAAGGGGGTCATTTAACTACCTCCTCGCGGCCGGACTCCCTTGGCCAATTTTAATCTCTTTTCCCCCCGAATTCTACGATCCGTATTCCCGTAGAAAGGTCTGGTGGAGGCTAGGTTTTATATGCCTCAAATCGCCGCGTCACAATGCAACGTTGGATGCACTTTTGTCCGTTTTTGTGGGCACATATTTTTCTTTGTAGCGGTTTTAGGACAAACAGTAAAAGGAAACACAACAGAAGAAGAAAAAGACACACATTATTTTTATAATCCTCCATGGGTATCATCGTTATACTAAATAAATGGAACCCGTCATTTCTTTTCGGCAGCGTTTTGGAATTTGAAAAGGCTTGCGCTGTGGACATGTGCTCATGTTGGTAATATAAGGGGCTTTACGTTTTCAGGTTTCGGGGAAGGTTTCTGTTTGTTTACACCGGCGCGTAACACCCTACAACAACAAGCTTGACCCCTTTCGCACCATCCCATACAGTGACCCTGGCCAGATGGCCGGAGGTTGCCTCGCACAAGTTGTTGTGGTCAGCAGAAATGTAGTTAGATAATCGTATTCATTGTCTTGGCCAATCAGGCGTAATTGTCTTACAATTAGCAATATTTAATCCCTCCCATATATTCCAAAAATGGACAGAGCTGGCAAAACATGTTAATAAGGATGTGTCCTCGTATAAATATCACCGCGACCTACTCGCAGACTCATTACGCACGGGAAAAAACCCACGTCCATCGGCGGCGTGACCTCACGACCAGGCCGCGGGACGTGGAGCGCGGGTAGCCCGGCCAATCTGGAGCAGCGCACGGGCGTGGAATGCGGGCAGCCCCGGCCAACTAGCCTGGGTGCCATCCGAATTTGTAACGGCTCCCCCGATTTTTCGGGGGAGCCGTTACAAATTCGGATGGCACCCAGGCTACCGGCCAACAGCGCGCGGACGTGGAAAGCGGGTGGCCCGCGGCCCGGTCAACCCTCGCCGGAGCAGCACGCACACTTGGAAGGCCCCCGGATTTTAGTCGTGCAGGCACGGAGGTAAGCCCAAACTTGAGTAGGTTGAGACTGTTCTTTTAATATTGGAACCATGCCATATGTAGTGTGTATTTGTGTCCACGGTCTTGGTTCATGTTGCCTTCTTACGTGTACCATCAAACGGTGTATTATTTTGGTTTAAAGTTTTTTCTGTGTAATGTTATGACTTTTTTGTGTGCATGTAACATGTAAGTTGTTCCATTTCGATCAGTCCGTTTTTCTATGCAGTCGTTCAGGCTAGGTGACATTGTCACTCTGAGCGGCCCCACGTTCTGCTCGGGTAGCGTCTCTTATTTTGAAATTTAAAGAATCGTTGTTCACACCGGCGTCCTGACGGTTCTGACACCGCTTCGTCCAAATGTTTTCCTTCGCTGTCAATCGTTGTTGTAAAGCTTGCGTAAATAACTCATTAATTTCGTTTCTACACTATGATAACCCTTTATACTATTCTAAATGACGTACCCAGTAAACTTAGCCTGTTGCGATTCTCTGGCTTAAAGTAAGTGTTGCCCCCAGCTTCTGACAACAGTGATTTTCCCCACAGTTCCCGACAAGTCAACGTGAAAAGTTCTAGTGGTTTGGGGGAAATTGGGTCACAGAGTAAAGATGAAAACATTCGCCTTTATATTTGTTGAGGATGTAGAACTGGTTTCTTAAGATTATACAAGAAGAAGCGCAGGCGGGCGTCCATGACTGTAGATATACCGGGGAGGCTACGTATAATAATAATAATAATAACTTTATTGCACAACAGTTGTACATGGTACAAAGTATGGCAAAACTTATCTATAAACTTAACTATGGACTAAACTAATTAATACAGGAGTTTGTGGCTGATATAGGATGTGAATGAACTTTTACCATATTGGAGGAATTTCTTATGTCTAGACATTGTTTGATATACATTCCTATATCTACCATACATGAGTTATCACAGGTCATTATTATCTTAAATTTGCTACTTAAATCCATCGATGTAAATTCTGGTACATATGACGATAGTTTCGTATTTAATGAATTGCGTACATCAACATACTTAGGACATTCCATCAAAAAGTGATACTCATTCTCAACTAGTTCTGGGCAGAATGGACAAACCCTCTGGTCAATAGGAAGCCTTTGAAATCTTCCGGTTTCTATACTGAGTTTGTGACATCCAATTCTGAGTTTTGTGATTGCTCGACGTATGTCAAAGCTCCTTATATTAGAAAGGTAATTTTCTTGCTTGTAATTCTTGTCTAAGGTTGAATATACGGTGCTAGGGCGAATAATCGTTCCGTTGTATATACAATCAGTTCCTTGACTCTGCTTCATACGTTTTGAGACTGACAGTTCATCGTTTTCAGAAAAACCCGCGCCTTGGACCGTCACATACATGTATGCCCTGCTATCACCATGGTACATCGCGTGGATCATTTCATTTCCCAACAGCCACAACTATCAACTTTAAAATAATCATTTTAAAAACTTTGCTTTGACTGATGTTGTCGTTTGAGTAAACAAGGAAGCGATTTGGCTGATTCGAATCTGCTGTCTCGGCGGGGTTGATTGGACGGGGTGAGAGTATAGAAGAAAACTCGCCCTTTGTCTGTACAATAATTATATACTAGAATAGGGTACTTGCTCATTAAATCTTTTGGAACTTTCCCTACTTTTGCTTTTTGTCGGCTTATAATATCAGCGGTTATAGGAAAGGTGAGTTCGCTATAATTAGAAATGCATAATGCGGATTCGATGGCCAGTAAACGGCAAACCATACGGGTCTGTTGGTTACATCATCGTACGATATTAAGAAAGTACGTGGCTATTGACACACCCGTTGTGGATATAAAATATTTCTCTTTCCTTATTGACACACCCGGTGTGGATAGGAATTTTTTCTCCTTATCGATTCACTTGGTGTGGATATAAAAAAATTATTTTCTTATTGACACACCCGACGTGGATGTATTTTTTGTTTATTGACATTCCGGTGTGGATACATCCTAACCCTAACCCTTAATGATTGATGCACCTAAACTTTGCTGCTCTGTACGCATGTCTTCTTCCGCGGTCACGCTGAACGCTGTCGAACTATGCAGAATAACGCAACCCTAGAATATAACAAACTTCGTTAACCTGTTCTACACTGTTTCTTTCAGCTCTACATGACGACAAACACAAAAGTTACTCAAGAATACAAGACAGAAGAAGTGGAACAAAATACCAGGTGAGTGCCTAACCACCCTTATTATACGCAATATTGTACATAATCACGATAGTTAGGCAATGTTCGCATCTCTATAGTACTTCTTTCACGATAAGCTGTGTGAGTTTTGAAAGGTACCATGCTTTCTATGATTAATGATTGCTGGGAAAACAATGTAGCCTGGGTGCCAGGCCCCCGTGCCAAGATTCAGTTAAATTACATGATAGGACTACTAAAGCATGTGGCATATGTAATTGCGAACGAGAGAAACACAGGCAGATATTATGTAAATTAAGATTTGATTTGCATAATTAATGAGAAATTCAGCAATGTTGTAATTCAGCAATGGTAACTGCCTGGAATTTCATACCTAGGGCATTTGAAAGTTAGGTGAGGTAAACATCATTAAATCACATAACTTATTCAAATAAGGACTTCGTTTGCTTTTCTCTCTTTGTGTCCACAGGTAAATTTCGCCATGTCTCACCCTGAGATGCAGACTACAGCAGGGATTCACTGGCAAGCACGAAGCCCAGTCAAGGAAGGATCGGGGTGTGCATTCATGTTTTGCACGCAAGAAGATTGAAAAACAAGCATTGATCATGCAGCAGCATCGTGAAAGCAAATAAAAAATATGAATAAAAAAAGCAAGACTGACACAAACACGCATGGTAGAAAACACACAAAACATCATCATTAGCACACAGTTAAGTTAGAAATAAAAGCCCAGCATCATATGGTTGAAACTAAAAACTTACTTAAAACACTATTCTTTTAAGCTTGAATATGCTGCTCCTTGTTCTTTCTTATGAGCAACAAAATTATTCTGTTTTATTTTATTCTATTTTTCTCTCTTGATAGAAGAGAACATATTTGAAATATCAATAAAGACAATCATTAATATTCTGTGTGCAAAAAGCCACAGTTGGCCGGAAAAGGTGCCTTTTGCATGTATGGTAACATAGGCCTTTCCTACTTATAAAGTATCCAGTTATCGACTGACAACTAAGCCATTAAACTTTAAACAAAAGACTTCTGCAAAAGATCAACCATCACTTTAGATATCCCTACTTGCTGTGTACAAACACAGAGTCATTCAAACAAGTAATTCCCTAGGGAATGCATTGACGGAATTTTTAGAATATTTTCAACTCGATCGCAGTACTATACTAACGGCTCCGCCCCTGAGGCGTCGCCAAAAAACATTAGAATTTCAGCCCTTCTTTTGTTTATCAGGCACACGTCCTGACTTTTGGATCCGGGAAAGTCCCCCCGAATTTCCTGTCTACTCTGCAATTATAGTTGACTTGAAGTGGAAGTCATACAATACTTCCAAAAAAACAGGTTGGGACAGTCCATCCTCACTTCGGGACAAGTGAAATTTATTTTGGGGAAAGTGGACAATAGGAAGAAAACAAAAATTTCAAGGCCTGCATATGATAACACCATGTAAGGCCACACAGACTCATGGATGACATCTTCTGAAGACCCTCAAACCAAGGAGCTTTCATCAGTGCGTGTGGGCAAATCCAAAAAATTCTAGCCAAAAAATGCTGCTAAACCACAGGAATACAAAGCTGGTATTGAAAATTAGCGGTTGTACATGACTACTTAAACGACAAGCTGGCACATGCTGGCCTTTTGTGGCATTTATGAGTCGGCACTGTACTGGATTCTTGAGTTCTGTAGAGCTTCGGCAGCCTGGGTGCCGTCCACTGTAGTTACCACGGGCTCCAGACTACGGAGGATGGCACACAGGCCAGAGCTTCAGAGTAGGTGATTTTTTTTAGAACAGGCGAAAATCAATTCGCGCGGAGATGTCATCCATAGAATTAAATCAGTGTTGCCCAACAAGATGCAAAGACTCTAAGAAGTATGTGGAGCTTCCTTTTCTTTTTTTACAATACTAGTACCTTTCTTGAAGATAACAGAAAAAATAAATCTTGTTTTGAATCCCCATACTCACAGGTACAGCGTTGGCCTGTGAGGCCCAGAGCATCAGAAGTGCATAGTTGGGTGCATGTGGTCTGTCCACCATTTTGGTCAAAGATTGCAGCAAGGTCTGAAGAGAAAATAAAAAAAAAACAATGTTTACAAACATATGACTAGTCTTGCAATATTGCATGATACATGTATCTTACTAAGGCCATACCAATTTAATTTGTTGGTTCTCGGATTTTTTCAGAAAAAATATGAAGCGACAGGGCGAAAAAAAATAAAAATAAAAACAGGTCTAGGCATTCCATTATAGGCTTAAATGCTACGGAATGAGCCATGAAGTCAACATAAAAGGCTGGGTTAAAATTTAAACATTGAATTTTGAACTTTTAATCAAACCACTGCAATGATAGATGGGAAAACTGTAACAACTAGGAAGAAAAGGAATCTCCTCAACTGTTGGGGGCAAAACATGAGCATTTTTCAGTTGATTCAGGACCAGAATCAATTTTTTTTTTTTGCAAATCAGAAAAAAACGAAGAGGCGAATCCGAGAACCAACAAATTAAATTGGTGTGACCTAATCTTATACGATAACAATGTACAATATTTTAGGGCAAACTAGCTACCGTTACTTCTTGGAACTTGTAGGCTACAAAATCAGATGGGATAAATGAGTATGACTATGAGCCTAATGATAATAACTCTTTAAAGGAGTACTAACCTCCAGAAGGAGGTGCTAAATTTCGACAGGCATTTAATTTTGGAAGTGAAAAATGCATATTATTTTACAGTATACAATTAAATGCCCATTTTGCGCGCAAGTCTTAAAACGCATCGACTCCAGGACAAACTCTCCAAATACCCTCAAAACTATCCCAGAATACACCACGCTACCCCATTGGTGTCTATGTTTTAAACAAAAAGTTACGTTACAGACCTCATTTCGGGGGCGATAAGAAAAATTCGTACCGTTTTGTGTTCTTTGGTATCTTACCAACCATTGCCCTTCTTGGTGTTCTTATCGCCCCTCATTTATGCCGCAAATATTGACGATGAAAAAAACGGCGTAATCTAGTTATCCTTTCCATAAGTGGCGTAATCTAATTATCTGTTCAAGTGATACTTACATGCAAATAAGTTGAGAAAATCAAAACACGCAGGATGAAACTGGCTCCCACTGTATTCGACATCCTGATATTATAATATCCAAGCCACAGGTCAAGCAAAGTAAAGCAAGTAATTTCTCAATAATCAGCTTGTTAGTGTGCTTGTCTCCTACCATTTTCGCCGAAAAATGTTTATGTTGACCTGAAGTGTATGAGTATTGCGTAAGCCAGAGTTCCCGGATGTATCAATTGTGGTTCAGCATGGGGGAAAATGATATTGATATCGCTCTACAAACATGCGCCGCGCAAGTCGTACAAGCGAAATTATGTAAAAAGTCGGCTAGTTATGTGTTCATTGCAGCATGATGTATCGGAAAATAGCACTTCCTTCTGGAGGTTAGTACTCCTTTAAAGGCAATTTCAGGACAGCAATACATAAAATATTCACGATAAGGACATCTGTCTGATATTGACAATTATGTGTAGATAGGACCAAGGCCACACCAATTTAATTTCTTGGTTAACAGATTCGCCCGCTTCATTTTTTTTCTAATTTGCAAAAAAAAAAAAAATTTCAGAATCAACTGCAAAATGCTCAATATTTTGCCTGGAACAGTTGAAAACAGTCCTTTTCTTCCTACTTGTTACAGTTATTCCATCTTTCAATGCAACTTGGTATCATTAAAAGTTCAAAATTCGTTGTTTAAATTTTGAGCCATAATAAGATGCCTAGGCCTGTTTTTATTTTTTCGCCTGCCCGCTCCATTATCTTTCCAGAAAAATCCGTTAACCAAGAAATTAAATTGGTGTGGCCCAAGGAAAGAATTTTAAGTTTTCCATCAGCGACATCATATTTTTGCCTCATATATATCAGTATGCTTTGGGATAGAGTTGATTCAACTTCAATTGAAAACATGGCAAGAAAATTGACTCTTGAGATCCAACTTCATTGTCCTGAAATCACTTTGGGTGTCTTTAAGTTTAAAGAAGGTGCTGGCTAGAAATTTTTCAAGAAGACTTACTTGTGATTCCGTTTCTTTTCTCTCCATGTTAGCTATTGATCTTGAAAAAAGTGACAACAGCCACTTTTTAGACTCTGCCCATTCCCTATAACACAAAAGTATGGTTAGAGTTAGAACCTAGAAGATAGAAACCAAATCCTGCAGTAGTCTTTTCACAGCTTGTTGGTAGAATGTTGTGTATGTGCAAAACTTGGATTTTCCATGGGTTTTTCTGAACTTGGAAGTTTGGTCAATGTTGCATCAGAATTTTGCCCATTGCAGACGATATCTTTTCTGACACAACATTTGAAAACTAAAGACAGAACGTCACCCTTAAATATGCAATTATGACTTTGTAGGAAACGTTCTATTGAAATGATATGCTCAATACGTTTCATGCAGGTGCAGTACGTTATGCCAACATGCTCTAGACTTAAAATTTACGGATATGAGTTTTTAGCAATAACTTAAAGGTTAAAGTTAAAGTGGAAAAGACTAACATTTTCGGTCTTCTACCATCAAAAGACAAAGACAAATCTCACATACAAGATCTCTCAAGGCTAGGTTCTTAGAACATAAACGACCTAGCTCGACTACTTTGGAGGTCTCAACATATACACAGTCTCACTGGACAAAGTAAGAATCTTGGACTGAGAACCAGACTTCTTTGCACGAGGGATTAAAGAGGCCATCTACATCAGGGCATTACAACCATCCCTCAACAGAGACGGGGGACACCACAGACTTTCTGCAACCTATGATCCACTGCTCACGGAGTCACGTGTGTTATCTGCGTGACGTCACGGAAGCGGTGGATTGCTCATTCCTTGACAAAGACTGGAGTTGTACAGTCAAAAATTTGGGTGAGTCCAATTTCTTGTGTTGGAGATTAAAGTTTAAACTTGCTTCATAAATCTTACATACCTTAAGAAAAATGGTGGCAGCTGTGACCCATACTCAAAGTCAGCGTCGTACTTGACAAAAGTGTCAGAGAATTCCTGCACTCTGTCCTTGTCTGTGGGCACGTTTTCTGCACCAAACAGGTTATTGACAACTGCAGCAAACATGCACCTGGAATAACAAGGACACAACTGTTAAAACTATGCATCAACTATTGTTAATTAGACCAGTTACAGCTAATATGAGCCTTTCTTGCAACCATTCTTGTTGTTAACCCATTGACAAATGCTAGGATATTGTGTAGGAAGGCCATGTTGATTTGATTATATGGATGACATCCGCGCGCGCATGAATCTTCGGCCGTTTCCAAAAAAAAATGTTTTCAACCATACGGTAACTGTAAATCATACGAAACAGATGCAAAATGAGCATTATATACAAAAAGTTGAAAATAAAACATTGGAAAACGATACCAATGTTGTAGAATGCTAAAATCAAATGAAAAAGAGGAAATGTAAAGAAATGTCTATATCTTAAACATTTGTGTCATTTGTTCAATCTTCATGACCACATAGATTTCATAATGAAAGCAACTTTTTTGGGGGCCAACCTTTTTTTATTCGCAAGCTCACATCAGTTTTGGGGATCCGAGAGGATGTCATCCATATAATCAAATCAACATGATCTAACTTGTGAAAAAAAAAAGATGATCCCTACCTACTGACCACAATTTTTTCAGGACTGAAACAGGAAACAACAATTTTTTTCCTACATATAGGCCTATCAACCCTTACATCAAGTATTTTGCTAATAAGTGAGATTCTTTATTGACACAACAAATAAGTACAGAAACTTTTGTATGGTCTTCTAGTTCTACAACTAAAGATCTAACAAAGCTAAATAAATGTGTGGATAACGTCATCTTACGTACAGAGTATATGTATGCTGTAACAATAAAGGTTTAACTATTCTCTAACATGCATATGTCTCCAAGATCGAAACATTCTTTAGTGTATTTTCCTATTTGAATACTGTATTGGTTATCTCCCCTGAGAATGTAGTTGAATTTATCTATAGGATCTAACGTATTGAAATCAATTGAACAAGCGGAAAGAAAAGTGAACAGCAATACTATATAGGCGCTTATCATTGTAAGTGTTTATTGTGTACAATCCATAATGAAAATTGAAATGGTGCTCATTTTTAATCATGTTATAATAAATTGCGATAGTCTATTAGCTCACCTCCTGACTAATTTGTTGAGGTCATCCTTCCCATGATGCTCCAGCTGTTCCAACTGTTGCTTGAACTCCCCCCACAGGTCGGAGCAGAAGTTGTGCAGGTTGGCGGGGGCCAGGCGACCCTTTATCGTGTCGTGGATTTTCGTGTGGTACTGAAAGAACGACTCTGTGCTCACCGAGGCTGAAACGAGAAATAGGTTATCTCACTCAGCAAAAGAGTAATTCACTTTATGTTCACGGTAGCAAAATTTCACGGTCTGAGAAAAATGGACATGTTCACGTAACTATATGTTCACGGTGGTGACAAGTGCAGGAAAAAGAAAGTCCAGGAATTATTTGTTAATTGTAATGATAAGTTCACTGTACACAAGAGACAGTGAAAACAGTGAACTTATCAGCAGTGAACAAATCAGGAATTACAGTATACTACATGGAACAATTCAAATGTAAGACTCTATCATTAGTGTATGCAATACATTTTTTTAACACATTGTGAACTTGTTTTTTCATAAAAATTGAATACACTTTTCTCCTTTGATGCTCCAGTGTTTGCCTTTCAATCACTTCATGGAATTTTGCTGCTTTTGACGGACAAAATTTTTGCCCAATCCGTCATCTTTGGCACACAAAAATTGGCAAATAAAGCTTAGTCTACCAGCAAAATTAGCCCCTCAAAATGCAGGAAATAGCATGTTGTTCTGCCCAGTATCATGTCACATGACTCGTAGTGAAGAACCAGCCGGAAGGTTCCTGTTTAGATCTCCTGACATAAAAGGAGGATTGGCCAACCAATCACAACACTAAAGAAACTCAGCGAAACTGAAACTAACTTACAAGGGTCTGAAATGACTGATAAACAGTTCTGGAGGCTCAACTTTGGTTGCTGCATAAGGCCATGTTGATTTGATTATATGGATGACATCCTCCGGGAGCCCCAAAACTGATGCGCGCGTGTGAATAAAAAAAAAGTTTTGGAAAAAAAAAAGTTCCTTTCATTAATGGCACAGAATATGGTTTGGCGAATAATCTAGTCTTCAAGTTCATTTCTATACAATTTCGTCTTTTTTTGTTTGATTTTGGCATTCTACGACATTGGCATAGTTTTTATTAATTTTTTTTGTAACTTTTTGCTCATTTTGCAACTGTTTTGTACGATTTACAGTATGGTTGAAAACTTTTTTTTTTTGGAAACGGCCGAAAATTCATGCGCGCGCGGATGTCATCCATATAATCAAATCAGCATGGCCTAAGGAGGAGAACTGATAATGATGATGATGTTTTCAAGTTTTTTAAGACATCTGCTATTGACTGAGCTACAAGTTGCCGGTTTTAGAGACGACTAATGTTACCTGTGTGTGAGACTGGGTCCTGTACTGCTTTCTGGAAGTCCAGGTTGGGTGACTGGAAGAAGGTGGTGATGTCCTCTGGTTCTGTTACAAACGTCATCCATCTTCCAGCAGCAACTATGGTGAACACTGGACCCAACTGGAATATCACACATACAAGTAGCTGTTAAACCCCTGTCACACATTGCCGAATTTGGCCTCTCGCACACTTAACCGAACTCCCTCCAACCATGGCCATGGTACCATCACTGGTACTAGAAAAAACTGTGAAAACTCGCAAGCACTACACAAAGCTATATATAAGGCAATTTAGAGGGTGAGAAGCAATTAATTTGCAGACAGACGCTAATATCTTTACAAGTGCGCATTGTGCTAAACAAAGGACTGTCTCCTTGGGGTGTCCCTACCTGACGAAGAGACTACTAGTATGGATATAAAATGTCCATCTTGGATTATTTCGATATCGTTTTTCAGTAACTATGTCTACTTATTTCCCTTGTCCTGCTGGCAATTTTTACACAATATTTTTAATTTCAAATAATTTCATGTCTTAATCAGGTCACAGACCCTTGACTTTTTTTGCCCTGCGGCGGCGTAGTTACTTCCGCATGCGTTGCGTTTCGCTGCGGTGTGATGCGTTGCACAAGAAACACCCCCAAATCGCACATATACAGGGCACTATATAGATGGTACTGTATGTGCAACCCATATATATATATGGGCCCCGCAGGACAAGGGTTAATGTTCTCCCGACTGGCCGTTGTTCAGCAATGTCTAAATCATATCTAATGTCCGCTAGCCGTTTTATAGACATTTTTGACTCTACCAGTGATATGGTTAGGAGCAAGGGTTGGCTGTGATTGGTTGGCATTTTGAAACAGCTGAACAGTAGCCAACCTTACCGAACTGTCCAGTAAGGTTGGCTACTGTTCAGCTGTTTCAAAATGTTTAAAACTTGTGGGCGGGAGGTACAGCTACATGATTGGCTGGTGTTTGGGAGTAGGTCAGCAGCGTGTGCATGCTCGGGGGTCAAATTTGACTCAAATTTAGCTAAAATTTGATACGCATAGAAAGATTGGTGTGGCCCAAATCCCAAACTTCAAAGACTGATCCCAAACTTCAGTTCAGCCACCATTGGTTGGTTGGTGGTCAGGGGAGGTTCTGTATAATTAGTCGCAGGGGTTTATTATGATATGATATAATGATGTACACATGATAATTTTTATATTTCAGCGTGCAAAATACCTGGTTGCCCAGTTGCCCCGGGCAAATTTTACTTGGGCCTAGTGTGCTACCTGAATTTTAAGAATCACCTCCCCCCCCCCACTTGGCTTGCACCACTGTATCTGGCAGATGCTTTTTAATTTAAGGTATTAATTTTAAAATTAAATTTAAGCTATGTAGTAACTTATAGGTGTCATAATGCAACCTAAAATTCTGATGGGCAACCTAATTTTTGCCCACTGGGCAACCTGGTTCAAAAAAGTATTTTGTATACTGTATTTGGCTTTCATTCCTATCAAAACATGACATAACTTTTTAAAAGTATATTTTCTTTGACTTTTGAGAGTATGAATGGTTTTGATTGTTATCCTTATATGGCAGGATTTTGCCCCACAGCTGGGTTTATCTGTCAGGTCCTGACAGTCACCGCCCATGTGGGACACATGTGGCCTGTGTGATGATCAGATAAATGGTCCAGGCCTGTGTGGTCTGTCAGATAGATTAGGGAAACTGTGCGGAAAACCACATGGCACTAAATTATCTCATGCCAATCAACTGTCCTGGACACAGCTGAAAAATACCAGCATTTTGTTTTTTTTTTATATTCCAACATTTCATGACTATACATGGTGACAGCACACTCAAGTTATATCAACTTACTACCGTACATTTTTTGTATTTTATGCCGCCACTAGCCGCGGCGACTGTTGCAGGGCTTCTCTTGCTTGCAGTCTTTTACATTAGCCCTAACAACAGTTGCAGGGCTTCTCTTGCTTGCAGTCTTTTACATTAGCCCTAACAACAGTTAGGGCTAATGTAAAAGACTGCAAGCAAGAGAAGCCCTGCAACAGTCGCCGCGGCTATGCCGCCACCAACACAGAGTACAGGACAGGACAATACTCATTTTCACTTGGAAAGTCGTGTAAAGTGCCTTTCCCAAGGGCACAAGATGGCATGTCAGGACAAGAACCCGGGACCTCTTGGTTCCGAGTCGAACACTGCCGCTACGCCACACTCCTGGACTGTCGTCATATATTTTATGACACTTAATTTGATAAGTTGTTCCTGTCGTGCATAGATTTGGTTCATAATCTAATGATATAACGTTAATTTGCATGTGTAATTTGTGAAGCGAACGAAGCTACACCATGCCTTAGCGTACGTGGCACTTCGTACTACAGTCCACATAGATAATGTTTCAAGACTGACACAAAATTATTCTTAGATCAAAGGTCGTCGTGGCCGGTCATGAATATGATCGATAGTACACGTACCTTCCGCCTTGTCTCTTCGATGAAGTCTAGAGGGGCCTTTCCGAAGTCGATAGCGCAGCCGAACCACGGTATCCAGCCGTCCATACACGGGGGACGGCCCTTCTTCACGATGTTCCTCCACGAGAAGAAGGCAAAACACAGGGAGAACAGGATCATGTACTTAAAAGCGTTGAAAAGTTCGTCGCCCGGCGAATGTTCACCGATGGTCGTCGCCATTTTGACTCACGTAGTGACAGGGGTGATCCGTTATATTCCCTTTGGGCAGACCAAATATTACATATACTGAAGAATTGTTGACAACAGAGCACTTTAAATTACTAAAAATGTCACAAAATTGATATAATTTAGTACCATCTAACGACATAATATCGCCTAAATATGTTTACCATTGGATAGAATCCGGAATTTAGTCTCCTCCTTCCTTTCCTTAGTTTCTGGCTTGTCCCTTACAGAGATGCTATCACGTGATGGATATGTATACTGGAGATTTAGGGGTAGTTTTCTTAAATAAAACTACATTTGCCTTTATATTAACCTAAAGTATGAAATATAGAAATTTAACACATTTTAACATCAAAATTAATTGTATATCTATCAGATATTTTTTTATTTTGATGCATAAATTTTACAATTTAAAAATGTATGAGGAACTGACCTCCCCGTATAAAGATGTGGATTGATCCAAATCTTGATAACCTCTGACCTGTTGAGTGGGAGACGACCGGGAGTTTTTTTTCGCGCACAGGTGGCGTCAGGGATCAACACTGCAGATGCACCTTGTCTTACCTGCTTACCTGGCCGTAACACTCACCTGACAGGCAGACACACGGACTCACCATGTCACTCCGAACCCTCCCGCTCCTCTTCATCAACCTGGGCGGAGAGATGATGTACATCTTGGACCAGAGACTGCGGGCGCAGAACATTCCACCGGACAAAGCCAGGAAAGGTGAACACACCTTTTCAGTTTTATCACTCGAACGTTAACCGCTAAATGTTACCTTTTAGCAGCTATTGTCCCCCTTATTTTACGGCTAGGGTGGAAACGCTTAAGACATAACGCCCAGACTAGCTACCAGACGGGGCCTTGCCCTTAAGGGCCAGACGCTCTTATTATTTAGAAAAATAAAAGGAAAAGAAAGATAGAATTCCATTTCCCGTGCGATTCAATTGTCTCAAAGCTGTTTTGTGTCAATTTTATTGTGTCGTGACTTGGCATCTCTTTTGAAAGGGGATCTCCTTTCACAAGGGTAGAAAGCATTCGGACAAAAGATGTTGGCTGGTCAGGAAAAAAGACATCAGCGAAAGGAGATAACCTAAAGGGATTAAGGAATATGATCCCCGTATCTTATGGCTGTACCATTATAGCTACATGACATTTAAGCAATGTGTCCTTCACATTAGATGTGTACTGTATCAACCAAAATCTGATCTCCATTTTATTTGCACAACATGGAATATCAGTTTTTCTCTTAAAGCTGCATTATGTAATATTAGGATAATATTAATACATACATTTTTTTTTTAAATTTTCTGGTCATTTCTTTACAGTTCAATCAACTGTTAATTGTTAATACCTTAAACAATTACAACTAAGTGGCATTCAGGAAGTGGCGGTGCCAAAATATGATACTTTGTGTTGAAACCAACTGTTACTACATTTTGCTAGCTAGTTAGTGGTGGTACCACAATCTGCGTGTGCCTTGTGTGGACTGTTTTAGCACCAACGATAAATTTCAGAGATATAAGATAATTGCCCAAATGTGTTGAAAAGTGAAAATAATTTTTACAATCACACACCACGATATTTTCAATTAAAGGTATTCCAATATTTTTGGTGCAAAAATGTCCCTTCAGAAAAAAAAAAAGGAAAACGAGAACATCATTTTTAGTTTACACTGTGTATAAAAGTAAATTATATAATATATAATATATACACCGCACTGACTTGATTTTTTTTCATTCAAGTTTTCAATGACCTTTATTGTACATTTTTGCTCATTGCGAACTAAGTACAGGTCACGGCAAATAGCGATGGCAAACTAAAATATATCTATAGTAAAACTACAGATGTACAGGTTCTGCTTCTTCTCGCTTCTTAAAGGCAGTTGTAAATGTAAGAACATATGGAGTTTATAGTACGAGGATTATCGAGTTTCAATTCATTGTATTAAGATCTGACCACTTGTAAAAAGATGGTCTTTCGGCTGCGTACTTCTCCTGTATTTACCCTGGACCTAAATTTGGAACAATTTCTAACAATAACCGTACCCTCAGTCAAGTACCCTGGAGGCTACTTGTGTTTATAGATCCAAGCGCTCTCAGAGATATTTGCTTATCTGACTGGAGAGTTATAAATAGCTCATTGGGTGGGGTGGGAAAAGCTTCCTACAAGCTGTCATTATTCCCATTGAGATTTTAGAGGGTTACCCTAAAAGCAGAGATTTAGGCTTCAGCTTAGTTTTGACATGTTTTTAGGCGTTTTAATTCTATCAGGCTAAACGTTGTTTTTTTTTTTTACTAGGTGCCTTTTTTTTCGCAAGCCAAACTTCGGGTAACATATTGGATGCCAATGACTCAAAATTAACGGTGTGCCGATGGCCAGTGACCACTGAAATTCAAGCTGGGACAACTAAAAAGACAATTTGGGACATTTTTGGGACAATAGAAAAATAGTCAACATCAGAATGTCAGCCCTTCTTTTGTTTGGCTCCAGAAAAAGCTACCCAAAATTTCCCGTTTACTCTACAATTATAGCGCGTCTGGCCTAATTGGAAGTCAGAATGTAAGCAAAATAAAGCTGACTTCAAGTTCACGTTCACTTCCTGAAAAACAGGTTGGGACAGTTCATCCTCACTTCGGGACAATTGAAATTTATTTTAGGGACAGTGGTGGGACAAGAGGAAAAAAAAGTTAATTTCGAGGCCTGCAATGATAAGTAGTTGTCTTGCCAATGTGATACTGTCTTGTATGATGCTCCAAAAATCTGCTGTGAGATTATCAGAGGGTTTAACACTAGGGAATAAACAGATTTTCTGGAAAAGAAATGAATAATATTATAGACTGTGTGAATGTTTTTTACATGAAAGTGTATGGTCCTTGTGGTCTTTAAAAATAATAATCAGGCCATGTTTTGAAGCATTTTCACTCGTTTTCACTCATTTTCACATTTTCTGTACACCGTGTTTTGAAATACCAAGTTAAGTGTGACAACACCAGTTTGTCTTTTCTCCCACAAATATTATATGGTAGTTACTAGTATACACATATACACTGTGGTGTTGTTCTAGGGAAAAACAGTTCTATTTTCAAGCAGTTTAATGAAATCAACAATAATATTACCAGTGTACAGAATATGATATTATCTGTAATTGTTTCTTCTAGGCACGTATCAAATGTACTACAAAATAGTATGTAAGTATTCATAGAGGATAGCTAAGGTGATGCTTTTAGGTTTGAATCCAGCGATGTCAGGGGATAGGGCTTTTACGTTTAATGTTTCACATGCCATTTGAAGTGTTCTTTCTCTGTCAGTGCCTAATGCAATATTAAGAACATCAGAATGTTTGAACTGGTAAGTCGACTGTAGACATTTTGCAAATGGCAGAGGTGATTTTCATTCACCTCGCACACATTTCTGTCTCCGTAAGTGTTTGCGTAGTGCAACTGTAAGCTCTTAAGACACACGCCCAGTCAAGGCAGAATAATAGGTTTTCAAAGAGGTGGAGTAGTGAAATAAAATGGCGTGCTTGGATTCCAACCTGGAATTCGGAATTTCAGCGTCTAGATCCCAAACTGAAATGCAAAACTCTGCCAATATAATTCATTTGCATTTCAGTGATCGAAATAATGCAAGGTGACCATGCAATTTGTTGAAAAAAGCACAACAATTGCAGGTAAAAATAAAGTAAAGTAATTGCAATTTTGCTGCTTGAAAGAGTTTTGACGTCTCTTGGTAGCAAATGCAAGGAGCCCCTTTACAAAACAGATGGTACACAGGCTAGGATGACTCCCTTTGACTTTGAGTATGACCTTGTGAAACCCTGCTTTAAAGGCATTTTCTGAGGGTGCATCAACGACTTCATCTCATAACCCATTCTACCAAGCAACAGTTTTAGCGTTTTGTGTGTGCCACGTGCACGTGCACTGCTTTTGGAAATACAGGAATACTGAATATGCAATGTACAAAATGTATATGGACGCTGGATGTTTGCAATTGACATGATACAATTTTTTATTTTTATTTTTGCACATTTAGCTTTTTTACATTTACTTACTTCAATTTTCAACTCAAAACAAGGATCATACGAACTATTACATGTTTGGGGTCTACATTTAGAAATTGGAATGCATGTTTTCTCGGGTGGGAGTGATAGCAGTTGCTTTGATCACTATACAATGTATCTTGTTAGGCTCTAACAACATCAAAAGGGGAGGCAGTGCGTTGAAATTCCTTTTAAATGCACATTGTAATTGCTAAGTCACGACTTAAGATTCCTGACTGGATGCAAGGCCTGACCAGACAACATTAAAGCTGCATTAACATGCCCGTAGCCAGGATTTTGAATGGAGGGGTTCATCCCACTGCTTGAGGGACCAGTGAGCGGCAAAGGTGCAAGTTCCCATATGGGGGTCCGGGGGTATGCTCCCCCAGAAAATTTTGAAAAATGAACCCTTTGAAATGCGTTTTTGAGAGGATTTCAAAGAAAAAATTCAGAGATAACTTTTTATTCAATGACAAACTGATTAGTTTTTCTACGATTCCAGCCCGCTGGTGATACAATTCAGACCATATTTACAAGAAAAAGTGGACCAAAAA